CAGCTGAAGTAGTCATTCGCCAATAAAAGACCTTCAGTGGCTGCGTCAATGATGGGCTGCACGAGCTCGTGCTCCGCTTCCGAGAGGGATATTCCCAAGCTGAATTGCAGCATTGGCCAGAAGACTCTAGGGGCTGGTTAGGGTTGAGTTCGGAGATGCGGAGAGACTTTGCTTACAGCATGCCGCCGTTATCACTACGGTATTGTAGATATTCTTCTAACGTCTGTGCCTCCTTGTCGCTGTTCTTCTCGCTGATAGCGAGCCAGACATCACGAAAGGCAGCGAGCATGTTCAACCCAAGCTCATGGTCGAGGTTGATACACTCGAGCATGCACTGTGAAACGAGCTTCTTGGTCTTCATTGCCCTTGAGTCAGGATCCAGACTGCTCTTGTCGTCTGGGTCCAAGGCAGCATGGAGCTCATCGTGCTCGGCTTGGGCTTCCTCAATGCTGAGGCCCTCACCAGTGTCTAACAGTTTGTCAGATTTCATACTACGGACAGGAATCTGGAAGGTAAAAGTTACCGTCATGAATCAAGCCCAAATCCGAAAGATATGCCAAAACTCCCAGACGCTCGGGAATGGCTTCGGGGTAAATTAGGGAAGACCAGTTGCCTACAGGCGAAAAAGAGAAGTAGGTCTTCTTCTCTCGGCCATCCCCCATTTCCCTGGCCCAGTCACTGACAAACCGCCGGCTGGCTGCATCAGCGAGATCGTCCCGTAAGTGAATTCGGATCGGAAGGGTTGTGAAGCAACCCGTCTCTTGAGCTTCCTCTGCCGGTATGTGTCTCGATCGATACAGTAATGGGCCCATGATTGGTAAAAGCAGGATAAAACGCTCCGCGAAAGTTCAATTACCCGTCTCCAGAGATGAAATGAACATATGTGGATAGCAGAGTTATCCATCTTGTTGTTCTTTCTTCGAGTTTAGATACTTGCATTATCCTGTTACCTTACTCGACTTCGTTGATAGTTGTCTGCCGCGTCAACAGCTGCTCCCGAATAGGCTATAATAAGCCCACAATCCGGGCCTGGCATGTGACGGTTTAGGTCTCGGTAGGCTTAGTCGATAACGAGACACCACCACCATCGCAAATGCGGAGTAGTTGAATCCATTGTGGAGGTAGGGGTCTAGGACTTCAATGCTACGTAAACTTGCATGTTAAGTGATAAGGGCCGGCAGGGGTGTGTCCCATATATTCGAAGCGCGAAAACGCGTGCCAATAGAGATCGGCGACTCTGTGTAGTGGACCCTGATTTTGTCATTTTCTGGAGGTGAGCAGAACAATGGGAAAGTTTGAACTTGTCTGGTTCCGTATGTTTAAACACCCATGCTCGTAAGCACCACTGTAAAGCTCATGCAAAAGATTCAAAGCCTGCAAAGGAAGGGGGTGATAGAGAAAAAAAAAAGGATTTCAGAGGCCTGCCTTGCTTCGGTAGCCTCTGATATTGCTCCGCCGTGAATCAGTGTCCCCGAATTTCTATCTTCTATCCCCAGTCTCCCTTTTGGCTTTTGATATGTCGCTAGTTAGCATTTCCAGAGCCGAAGTTTCGGGAGAGCTCGCAAAGACTAACCGTACGTAAAGGGTTGGAAATCGATCTCAAGAACTGACGCCCCATCTCAGCCCCCCCCATCTGGTCTTGCTTTCGCACTGACGACTATCACGGACCTACACCATGGCCTTCACTTCACCATTATCGACCTGGAGTTTGGGACAGCAATTTGGTCTTGCATTGGTTATCGTATGTCATACTCTGCGGAAGCGATGAAAATGGCTGTTGTTCTGACATTTCTTTCTCTTTAAGTCGGCCCTTGCCCTCGTGTCGGTCATTATCTATGGCTGCTTCTTGCATCCTCTCCGCCACATTCCTGGCCCATTTCTGGCCAAATTCTCTCCTGTTGGTCTATTCTCTCAATATGTGAGCGAGTGACGATTAAATTATGAAAACAGCTATGGATTATGAGGGCTCTGCACCGCATGCGGTTCAACTCGGAACTGCAAGCTCTCCATCAACAATACGGTAGGCCCTCAGCATCAACGACCAAAGCTGTTTGACTGACGTGATTCGTCTGTTTCAGGAAACGTCGTGCGAATCGGACCCAACGAAGTCTCATTTGCTTCACTTGAAGCAGAAACAGCAATTTACGCGAAACAAGAGGACGGTCGCTTTTCCAAGGCTGGGACCTTCTTGACGCTTTTCTCGGACCTCGTATTGAACGCTCCGACCCTCATTACCATACCTGACCCTATACTTCACAGGAAATTGCACAAGGTGATCCAGCAAGCCTTCACCCCTCAAGCGCTTGCAAGGCAAGAACCCATCCAGAAGCTGCATATTGACATGGCCATGTCCGAATTGGAAGAACTTGCCAAGAGCGGCGGTACCGTGGACATCGCTGACACATTGGAGACGATGTTCTGGGAGATCATTGGTGATCTTGCTTTCGGTGAACCTCTCATGTCTGGAAAGCGCCGTAAGTTGAAAGCGGTACCGTGGACATGCCGGCAGAAATAATGCTAACAAAGCGTCCCAGCTACTTACGAGTCATTGAAGCAGCTTGGTAAATCAACGATGCCCATGGTCGAAGCCTTGAGCTTTTTCCTCACCCTACCTGGGATTGCTTCAGTATTTGGGATTGCTAGAAGCCTCATCACAGCATTGCCGTTTCCGTCGCAACTCTCCAAGCTTGTGCCATCTTCGAAGTTGCGCGAGTGAGTATTTCTTCAAACCTCTTGATCATTCCAGTGATCTGATACGAATTTCGAACAGCTGCGCCGAAAGGCAAGACGGAAGAGAAGACTTCCTGACCGCTATCATGGGCAGCGAGAAGCAAGACCTGGTGCTCGACGCGGATGCATTCTTCAGTAATGCCATGGGCCTGACGTATGTACAAACCAATTTCCTCAATGCGACTTTTGCTCAGAGAAACCGCAGCCTGGCCGGATACCAGACAACAGCTACGACACTGGCCGCCACTTTCTACCACATCTTGCGCTATCCTGAGGCGTATAACAGAGTTTGCTTCGAGATCCGCTCGACCTTTGTCAGTGACGAAGAAATCACAGGAGCGCGCCTTGGCAGGCTGCCATTCCTGAACGCCTGCATCCGGGAGACCCTGAGGTTGCTTCCACCCGCAAATGGCAAAACGGCACAGCGTACTGCTTCCTCATGCACCATAGACGGGGTGCACATCCCTGCGGGTACCACAGTCTCCGCTGATCTTTACACAATCCAAAGGTCGCCGAAGTACTTCGCAGATCCCGCCGCCTTCCGCCCCGAGAGATGGCTCGATGTTGCGGAAGATAGCGAGTTCAAGAGGGACAACAGGGCCGCTTATCGTCCTTTCCTCATTGGAAGTAGGGCATGTATCGGCAGGGAGATGGCGCAGCAGAGCATCCGACTTATTTTTGGAAACTTGCTTTGGAAATATGACTTTCAGCAGCTGGATCAGGATGGGTTTGTTTGGGAGCGCGACGCTGGCAGTAGCCTCATTTACACGGACTACAAGGTCATGGTACATGTGATGAAAGCCAGCGGCAGATCATAACGTATCCGAGCATTATCACGCTGAATTGATGTCGATTACTACTCCGGCGCCCTCCCGAATCTCGAGAAAACGTGCTTCAATACTATAGAGGAACCTCACGTTGACCTTTCGGCAACCGTAATACTTGCCGGTGTCATGGCTTGAAAGTCTACGCGGTTTCGCAGCTGCACTAGAGCCCTGTGATATCACAGCGTCGTTGGACACATTGTATCGACGAAAAGACAGCAGCCCACCCCATGGAGGCAAAAATGCCTCACGTTGACTGGGGTTCAGCCCTGAGGGTGTGCGATATATTCAGAAGATGGCGTTTCTCGTATTGAGTAAGCTATTCTAGCTCCCGGCGTGCCGGCGAAAGAGGCTGCCCACGTCCCGTGCGGCTGCGGCCGCTACGCTGGCGCTCGGGGAGATCTTTGCAGTAGCGCGAAATTCCATTGGCTTCGGATATACTAGCCACATGCAAAAAGCGCTTAGTATGAATGGGTTCAAGAGCTGCCACCGCCATGCTGCACATTTCAGGCAGCGATTTATCATTTCATGGTGACGAAGCTGTGAATAGCCTAATAGCGTAAGATCAGTCAGCGTCACATTGAACCGATGAGACCCTACCTACTCTACATTAGCAAGGTGTTCTCTTTGGGGATTCCGGCTACCTAAGCTTCCGATGCACTCCAGTGGATGTGAATGCTTGGCTCTGAAGTCGGGTACGTCAGTTGCTGTGCCGTTTCTCCACATAGAGACTGAGACTCATGCAGTCATCCCTAAGTCGGCTATGGCTGTGGGTCCGTGGCCCGTTCCCAAAACGAGAGGTACGAGAGTGAGTTTTGGGCCTTCGTATTTTGGGGAACTCTGTCCATGTCTCGATGCAGTCAGCAGTTTTGACGAAGATAAGGGCGATGCGCGTAGGCTCCAGGACGTTTGGGGGTGGGGTAAGGCCTAGGTATAGAGGTGAGGTAGTGTAGTGTAACGGTTGGGGTTTTGAATAGGGAAACTAGTCTGTATTAGGTTTATGCTTATAGGATGTATAGGGTGTTATATTAAGTATATTAAGTTATATTTTTCCATAATTAAGTGATATATATTAAGCTTATTACTATAATAAAGTTTTATAAATAGCTAGTAATTTAACTATATACTTAAAGTAATTATAGTAGGTTCTTTTAATAACTACTAATAATTGAAAGTAATTATAACTGTATAATGTGTAACCAAAACTTTCTCCCTTGGAGTACTTGGCGCTGTTGATCATCGGCTCACACCCGAGCAGTGAGTGGGACCGAGTATGCTAATCGACTTATCTTGCCGACAGTTAGCAACCCGATAGCTCTCCCGGAAGTGACAAAGGCGTACCGACGGCTGGAAAGATAGCCGGCCGTATAGGGTACGGTTCTCCCTGTCGGCAAACGCGACATACCGACAAAAAATACCGAATTATCGAGGGACTGTTTTGGAAACATGAAGGAGATACCCCAAGAAATGTTCAGTTCAATTGCTGGGCTCTTTGTTCTCCGCCTACTGACCATGTTCATTTGGAGTGAGTTACGCAAATGGTTCCAAGGCCATCTCGATGGGATGGACATTGGCGAAACATCATTTCCTCTCTTTCTGTCGGTCAAGTCAATGGCAAAGGAAAAGGACCACATTGAAGGCTTTGAATCAGAACTGGCATGGGTAATAAAAACGCAAGTCAACAAATGCTGTCCAAGGATCAGCGCGAACATTTCTCAGCGGCGAAAAGAACCTGGAAGTTCCCGTAGCTATTCGTCCGACCTCGGAGGCAATCATGTATCCCTATTACAGCAAATGGATTAGAAGTCACCGAGATCTTCCATTGCGACTGAACCAGTGGAACTCTGTCGTGCGTTGGGAAACTAAACAAACGACTCCCTTCCTGCACACCCACGAATTTCTCTGGCAAGAAGGTCATACAGCTCATCTAACCGAAGATCAAGCAGGAATCGAGGTTCTCGAGATCTTGGAACTGTATACATAGCCTTACGAAGACCTTCTGGCGGTACCCATTGTGCGTGGTCGAAAGACGGAAAATGAACGATTTGCTGAGGGTTACTATACATTGACCTTGGAAGGATACATCCCATTCAACGGACGAGGCATCCAGGGAGCTACCTCGCACTGCCTGGGTCAAAATTTTAGCAAGATGTTTGACATCTCTGTCGAGGATCCAGCCGGCCCGGGACGCATCTATGCCTGGCCGAACTCGTGGGCCTTTTCTAATCGACTCATTGGCGTTATGGTTATGATCCACGGCGACAACAAGGGCCTGGTTCTACCGCCAGGGGTCGCTCAGATACAAATCATGATGGTTCCCGTCAGCATCAACAGGAAAACTTCAGCAGAAGACAAGGACCGTCTGCTGGACCAGCTGTACGAGATGCGCAAGACGTTGAAGAAGTTGGGGCTTCGCGTTGAGGTCGACACGCGTGAGGGATACACCCCAGCGTGGAAGTTCAGTGACTGGGAGATGAAGGGCGTTCCCCTAAGAATAGAATATGGACCAAAAGACGCAAAGACCCATGTTGTCAGCTATGCAGTCAAGCACAACAACAGAAAGGGGACAATGCCGGTTGCCGAGATTGCGCCCCAGGCGTCCAGACTGCTCGATCAGATTCAGAAGGATATGTAGGCCAAGGCGAACTTGGCATACAGCCAGCACCGCAAAGTCATTGACAATTGGGACGAGGTCAGTCCTGCCGTGGACAGCAAGAGTGTGGTCCTGAATCCATTTTGTCTTGATGGTAAATGTGAAGACCGGATCAAGCAGTTGACGACCAAGGAGGATGACTTGGGCGACCAGGAACTGCCTCAATGGGAATTAACAGCCTGTGTATTCCATTTGAGCACTCTGGGGAGATTGAGGAGGGGCGCAGGTGTTTGAACCCAGAATGTGACAGGTTGGCGCAGAAGTGGACGCTTTTTGGAAGAAGCTACTAAATGAGTCATGAGATAGCAAGGTCGAGATCAGACTCAATAAATACAAGACTAAAATGGAAGAAAACCCATGAATTCTCAGTCAATTTGAGCCAATATACTCTCCAGCCTAAAAGCCTCATATCGCTGGTCTCACAATCACTAACAGGCACCGTGCTCGTGAAAGTGCATGGGTAGACAAATTACCGATGACCATAACTAACTATAGTAATCTAAAGTCGGGGTGCGGATCGTTCCATCCCCGAACCTCTCGTGTCTCCTTCATGCCTCGCTTTCTGTCTCCCTTTCATAGTAGCCTTACACCAGAACACAGATCGAGACCCTTGTCCGCTATCGCGAATCAAGACTTGGGGTTATCGTTTCACTGGGCGAGCTATGGTGGGAGCAAGTGACGAACGCGTGTTTGCAGTTCAAGATGAGTCCATGAACCACTTTGGTGTCTGCACCGTGGTAGTTTGGTCCGGACTAGCAGGCGAATCCTCTGGATTCTGAAAGGCATTTGAGCCATGAGGTTACTGATATCTACTCCAGCTTCAACGACCCAGAGTTACCCCGGACAAAGCGGATGACGTTGACTGGGCAGAGATCGGCAATATTTCAACTTCGGAGGTGACAGGTAATAGACTGTTGGGACCTTTTGTTGGTGTAGATCTGGTAGTGCTTTCTGCGATGTGACATAATGAATGCTTATCTGATGTTCCACAGACATACTGGCTAGCTTGATTGGAATAGATAAATGTGGTCTAATTTAGATTTTCAGCGTCTCGGGCATCCCATCTCCATTCGACAGCATTTTGCGAACAACCTCAACAGTGAAGATGAATTAGCGTTGAATAGCCTGAATTATGAATCCAGAAGAATAAGAAACAGACTCACGTCGCAAACGTTCCCGCTGAAACTGGCATAGCTCGCAGTAGCGCAGGACCAATACCGTCGAACAACCCAGAGACACCACCGATTCGCCAAGTCTGTCGAATAGCCTCTGGCATGGTCTTGTACTTTTGGTCGTTACCAAACCCATCGTGAAGCATCTTGCTTTTGATGACATCAAGAGGATGGCTCAGGAGACAAAGAAGCTCTCCAGCAAGACCGTCGCACACGACAAACCTCCAGTTCTCAATCTCGCTTCGCTTCTTACCCTTCATCCTTACGCCATGCTGGACGAGGCCCTCGTACGCGGCGAACCAGACTCCGTAGCCGTGGAATTCGCGAATAATGGTGACGGCCTGGCCGCGATAGATGCCTGAGATGCCCTGGTGTTGCCAGATCTTTCTCGCGCAGTCGGATACCCCAGAATAAAGCTTATTCTCACCGTGGGGCTGTGTCTGAAGTCGGATTCTGATGTGCTCAATTGGGCCAGATATGACGCTGTGAGTGACACCGGCTAAGCCACCAGCTAGGTAGACCTGGCCAAGAGATAAGAAGCCTTTATGGTTAGAATGTTGCTGCTTGTTGAAGTTGTTAAACTGTTGACTGAATAAGTGAAATTCACCAAATTGAATGCTGACCTATGAAATCATTAACAACTAATCCTCGAGAGTTATGAGGGACGCTTTGTCTAACGCAGGTACCGACTCCGAGGAGTGGTGGTACAGTGCCCTGGATGACTGTTCAGTCAGGAAATGTGCAACAAGAACATGGTAAAAAGTGCGTTTCCTACCCTTGTAGAAAGGTCGTGATCTTTCTACACTCCAGATCTTTCAAGTGACATCTAATGCGTAGCCACCGTGGGCTTGAAGTCGCACCTTGACGATGTCTACAACTGTGGGTGAGAGATGATTACGATGACTAGTTGAATATGGAGTATCGTGCCGAATGGTTGCCCTAATCATCCATCATGAGTGAGTGTCTTGTTCGTCCCTATATATACGTTCTTTGGAGTATTTACCAATTAGAACCTGTGCAGCGCCCCCCCCCATCGCCCCCGCGACGATATCTATGACTGTGTCTGCCATGGTAGTCGTGCTTGTGTGTTGCTTGCAGGGTTTTCTTGGTGTTCAGGCTGAAGCCTTGTGGGCGGCATCTGATAATACAGCGGAACCACAGCCACGAAGTCGGCAACATGCCGAGACCATTCCAGAGCCGCGTGGAATTCCGTGATCGTGTTAGGTTGTCAGAGTGCGGGGGCAAGATAGGTAGCATCGGGATTTGACAGCGACAAAGCATCGGGTATCTGCCGCCAAGTCCATCGGCTGTTTACCGGGACAGGCCCTCCGGTCCAGCCATTTTCATATCTCGGGCACATTAACCGAGAGGACGTTCGATGCTAACTTGGTGGTCGATGATTCCCTCCAAGAGATTGTCAGCCTGGGTAGTTTGGATCTGCGTGCGGTGTTGTGGCATCACGGTAGTTGCCGCCGGTACTGATTGAACCCAAAGAGTTCGGGTTTTCTTTTATTTGGGGTCATTCTTAACTCACATTCTTTTAAGTAGTTAATTGTTCTCCAATTCACCCCTCGCCCTTCTTTCTTTGTCGAGACACATACTTATCCAATTCACAAAAATGGCCTCACACATGATGCTGAACGTCCGTCAGGCTATTCGCCGTCAGGCAGCTCCTCGACAGGTTACTATCCGCTGCCTGGGAACTTTCAGGGTCCCTCCAATTCGAAATGAACCCAATGTACGCACCCCTACGCAGCGTTGCGCATGATCAATCACACTGACATGCTTATAGCCCACATACGCAAAAGGTTCCCTGGAGCGCCAAAAGCTGCAGGAAGCTCTCGATAGCCTCAAGCAACGTCTTCCACAAAGACGTCATGCTGGAACCACGACAACCCCCAACTCGTACGCCTCCGCCACAATCCCTCTTGCCAACGGGGATGCTGCTGAGATCACTGCTTATCGCAACGGTATCCAGCAATCGGATTCTCCTTACGCCCTCCCTAGCTATACTGTCTTTCTTCACCAAACCCCACTCGCCTCTTTTCAGCGTCGACAAGAACTCCATACTCAATGCCCTCTTCAAGTCCACCATATATCGACACTTCTGCGCTGGTGAAGACGTGGTGGAAGTTAAAAACACTATCAACAACATCAAAGACATGGGATTTAAGGGTGTAATCTTGACACATGCTCGGGAAGTCGTCATTGAAGAATCCGGAGAGCAGGAAGTTGGTTTTGGAGTCAAAGAACTCAAAGAAAAAGGTTTTCCGGCGCAAGAGCCAATTTTAGACGAAGGAATTGAAGCTTGGCGACAGGGCGTCCTGGAGATCGCTTCCATGCTTGAGAAAGGTGATTTCTTAGCACTCAAGTCAGTTCACCAGTGACATCCTTTTTCACATTGACACTGACAACATCTAGGTTTACTGGAGCAGGAGCTGGAGTGATGCAAGCTCTCAAGGACCAGACCCCTCTTCCCAAAACAGATGCAGGATTCTCTCAATGCCCTCTATGAAAAGGCTATGGAGCGAAAGGCAAGCATACTCATCGACGCTGAACAACAATTCGTGCAGCCTGCGATTGATGGCATTGCACTCGTCCTCATGCGTAAATACAACCGGGAACAAGCAATCGCTTACAACACATACCAAGCCTACCTGAAGTCGACACCATCCACCCTTCTTGACCATGTTCACTGTTCCAAGGATGAGGGCTTCACCATTGGTGTCAAGCTAGTACGAGGTGCTTACATGAACTCGGAGCCACGGGGGTTCATCCACGACACAAAGCAGCAAACCGATGACTCGTACAACAGCATCGCTGAAGGTCTGCTGCAGCGTCGATACGAGGATCTCACGCCTAGCGGCTTTCCTAAGGTGGACTTGTTCCTCGCCACGCACAACAAGCAGAGTGCGCTGCACACACACCAGGTGCAGCAGCAGCGCGCCGATGCGGGATTGCCATTGACCAAGGTCCAGTATGGACAGCTTCTCGGCATGGCTGATGAGGTCAGCTGCGCGCTGCTCCAGCGCGCAGCGGACCCCAGGACGAACGGCCCTGCGTCCCCAGAGGTTTACAAGTGCTTGAGTTGGGGAACTCTGGGAGACTGTATCTCATACTTGCTCCGTCGCGCGGTGGAGAACAGGGATGCGGTTTCGCGAACAAAGGTCGAGTATTATGCTTTGAGAAAAGAGGTCTGGAGACGATTCAAGAAGGTATTTACGTTTGGAGTAGCCGGTAGATACTAGGTACTCGAGTAATGGAAACAGTTGATCCCATATCTTTGGCTGGCTCTTGACTATGGTAACATCGTCGTGCTGGCAAGTAACGACGTTGACCTCGTCACAGCCATCGTCAACTCTGTGGACCTGCAGATCAAGAGCCTGTCTATCTCTGTTCAGGAATCCCGGCACATCTTCTGGAAGATCAACCTCACAATTTTGTGAATCGTGGCAGGATCAACCATCCTGGCGGCTGTCAACAAGAACATCATCAGCAACACGACCATTACTGAAGCTTGGTCTCAAGTTCAGAAATTACTTATATAGCTAATGCAACCCAGTATTCGCGTCGCAAAAGTCGAGATTATAAGTTATTAGAGACAGCTTGCTTCATTCCAATATCATTTCATAAACCATTGGTACACCTATTCCACCCATGCATACGGCATCAAACGCCATGTAATGAGCCTGTACGGTTTCCACCTTCCCGCCAAAAGGTACTGATACTATGTCCTCTCTACAACTTTCAATAGTTCCTGAGACCAGTTGACCTAGTACGACAGCCAACTTGGCTGGAGACTCATCGAACGCATGTGGCTCGCCCAGAATGTTTAGGGTTCCCACTATGGCACCAGTCGCATTGTTCCGAACAGGCGTGTTCAATACGCTTTCACAGCCAATGGTAGACAGAAACTCCCACTCAGAAAAGGATTTCTTGATATCCTCAATTGATTGCCCATAGAACTGCTTGCCGTCTTGAAGAACCTGTTTCGACCACGCACTTTGAGTCACCCTTTTACGCGCACCAGGGAGCTGGACGTCGTTGCGCGTGGTATAAAGACGACACGTCGTACCGGTAGCCTCGTCATAGACAAAGATGGTGAAGAGCTGGTTGGGGAATATGGCACCGACGGCCGCATCGAGAGCGTGCCAGATGTCTGCTCCTGGACTGTTGGAATTGGTCTTTTCGGCGACGTGAATAATGAGATTCGGATGGGACTCAGGAGTTGTGGTGGCCATCTTGGGATGAGTCGAATGGTGAAATCAAAGATGCAATGGAGGTGTGTGCAAGGTTTGAACAGGCTTATTGATAGCTCTGAGGGAACAAAGTGCTAATCGAAACAATAGATTTTGATATACTAAACCTAGAGGCTACCGGGTTTCGTTTGCGTCAACGAATCTGAACCATAGGCTAGCCGCCAAAATACGTGATTTGGTTCTGACTTGATAGACTAGGCCAACGCAGGCACGGGTGAATTCCGAGGTCTTGGAAACTAATCACCGGCTGCTGTCGGGTAAGCATGTATAAAGGTTCCCGAATCGTAATCCAGAGTATTGCCGATCGCATGACCCCCTACTCTTGCTAATTATGGTGCTTATTGGCGACTTTGTCATGTCAAGTTGCCGCCTGAATGAATATGCAGGTTACACACATGCCGACAAGATTCAGCCAATCAGAGGATCACCACACACAATCCTACCCGCCTTACGTCAACACCTGAATGCAGACAACACACCTAGTGCGCAACTCACAGCGCATGATTGACAAATGATAATGTTTCTAAGAATGCTCTATTATGTCAAATTGTTGAATAAACATGGCGGCTGCAAATTGATCATGCTCAGCCAATCAGAAAATTGGTAAGCATAACTCTATCGCGCCCTATGCGCTTGGCGTCAGCTCTTGGATGCCTGCTTTCCCCAACTTTTATATACAAGACCCCTCACTTCAAGCATCCATCACAAGACCCAATCCCAGGCATAATTATCCTGGTTGGCTTATATCTATTGTTAACCTTCACGGGCTACCTAAAGCACATCGCTCAACCTACAACCCTCCTGTTGACTGCCCCAGACGCAAGATGGCAGTCTATCACAGCGCCGAGGGTAGAAAGTTCTTCGTCCCGCTCGAGAACAATCCCCAGGTCTTCACCAACCTGGCCCACGACCTAGGAATGGACCCTAAGTTGTCGTTCCATGATGTCTACTCTCTCGACGAACCAGAGCTCCTGGCCATGGTCCCGCGCCCAGCACACGCTCTCATCTTCATCACGCCCTCTAACACCTACCACGCCGTCGAGGCTGAAGACGTGGCCGCTGGCAAAAGAACAGCAGCGCCTCCGGACCGGAAAACCTACTCGATGGAGGGCTTCGATGACCTCTACCCGACGAATGGGACTCCCCAACCTGTCCTTTGGTTCCCCCAGACAATCGGCAACGCCTGTGGAATGGTAGCCCTCGTCCACGCCCTGCTCAACGGCTCTTTGCGCGAGCGTCTTGTACCGTCATCGCCACTAGCAGGACTTCTCGACGAGGCTCTCAAGTTGCCCTTGCCCACTCAGCACGCGGACCTGCTATATAACTCAGTCGTCATAGAAGAGGCTCACAGCAAGGCGGCAGCTAGAGGCGATACGGCAGCACCCGATGCTCAAGATCCTATCGGGTATCACTTCATGGCTTTTGTGAAGGGGGCAGATGGGAATCTCTGGGGACTGGATGGAAGTTTTGGTGGGATGATGTGTTATGGGCCCGTGGGTGAGGGGGAGGATATGCTGAGTAGTAAGGTCTTGGATATCGGGGTGCGACGGTTCATTAAGGCAGGGGAGGGCAGTGCCGAGTTTAGTATCATTGCGCTTTCCGAGGGAGAGTCTTAGGCTTGCCTTTGATGCATCCTGAACTGGGTTTGTGAGAGTGTTATTTTGAGCTGATAGACCCGTCAGCTGATGCTTATATCACGCGCCTCACGTGCCCTTGATGAATCGACAAAGTATATTTTACTAGTAAACTGTCAATGCTCTTGTTTTCTTGGGCTATGAAATGATAAACGACAGAGACTCTCTTCAAACAAGCGCATGCCTTTCTAACCTTTATTGCGATTATGTATCGTCCTTGATGAACTCTTCTTATCCTTCACTCATGCAATCTCTGCCTCGATCAACATCTCGTACTGCTGAGGATCAGGCCAAAACTTGACAATCCTGAACCCAGCCCCGGTTAGCAACTCCTCCCACTGACTCTTGGTTCGCTCAGAAGCTGAAAGAAGAGACATCATCTGAACGTCCATGGTAGTCTGACTAATGCTAGCTCCAGTTGGCGGCAACACGATATCGTAGACAAAGAGCTTGGAATAACCCTTTGTCATGGCATCTCTGGTGTTCTGTAGGAGTTGGGTCGCTTGGACATCGGGCCAGTCGTGAAGAACAGCGTGCATAAAGTAGGCACGGGCTCCTAGCTTCAGTTAGGACTTGGTTCTCATCTACTTAGGATGGTAAGACTTACCCCTCACAGGCTGGGGCTTGAAGAAATCATGTACCATAGCCGTGATCTTCTCATTAACATCCGCCCGCTCAATAATCTCCGGTAGATCTTGCAACACCAAAGTCCCGTTTGGCAAATCCGGCCAGGCCTTTAGAACATGCGAGATATCAATACCAGTATTGCCTCCAACATCCACAACCAGCGGTTTGCTAAGATCAGCACCCTCAATCAACTTGCTAGGATCATAAATCTTAGTCCAGGGTGTCTTCCAAGACGTCCAGGCCTCCATGTGACCTGTGAAGGCTTCATAGTACTCTGGACTCTTCTGAAGACGACCGAAGAAATTGAGGCCATCGGGGTCGCTGCCGGCGTAGTTATTGTCTTCTGCAGCTGTGGGGACTTTATACCCTATCTTAGCGAGATATTTAGGGAGATTCTGTCCAGCTGAGATGTACTGATAAGTTCTAGGTTTCGTTAGTTTGACGTGTTGGTTTTGTGGCTGGGAGACTTACGCTGCTTGGAGTGACGCTTGGACCTTGGTACTTTCATCACCAATGGCGTATGAGAATGGCGTGGGCTTGAAGGTATCCACGTCTGTCTCCTCAACCACATAAAACGCAGCCAGGAGACGGAACAGTCGTCCTAAACAAAGGTAAGCTTGGACTAACATGGCAGGGATATGACAGCTCACTCAACAAGTTGGGTTCAACATCCCTCCCAGTCAACTTAACCAAGTCATCGATCGTCTTCTTCCCCCCGCCTTCTTGAGTCCAAGCCTTCCAGATACCTAGATCGATCGCGGTCTGCAGCGCCGCAAAAACTGCAGGATGTTCGAAACAAAAGCCCCATGCTCGTTCATATGGAGTTTCGACTCTGGCTAGTAGACGACGAGCGGCTGCACGGACACGCAGGCGCTCGACTTCATCGCCGCCGAATTGACTGGGATTTACCGCATCGAGTGTGCGGATGATGTCGTTTGTTGACGAACCAACCGAGCCCATTGTGAAAAGTCAAGTATAAGAATGTGAGTATGTTTGGGAGTGGAGTCAAAAAAGAAATGTTAATTTGGAATTGTGATAGAAACTGGCTTGTATAAATAAGTTCCTGGTTCACGATGAGCTGTCTTCTCTTGGACTAGTGATTCAGTTGATGTGGGAGAACCCTGCTGCCCCTTGCTGGGATGAGAAGTTGGTGTGGAGGGGCGTCTCTTTGAGCGTTATCTCATCACGAACTGGGCCAATACTGGCTTTGCCTTCAGCTACCGTGCAGAGAATAGCAGAGCATTTGACGTATACAGCGGGCACGTGTTATTCTTAGCTTGATCAGTACTGGGGTCTACGCCTCCGTCCCCAATGAATAAAGAGGGTTTCTACGTGACATCTCCTTCGGATATAGGCCGCGAAATAATTCAATAAAATAGAAGTTGAATCTTGATAGGTGTACTTTTGCCACAGTATTCATGGCATAGTCGTACTATTCTCTACGTGATAATGTACTGCGTATCGCTAAGATGGCTCATATCAGGCATCAGCAATTTCCGTAGTACCAATTCACCAAAAAAAGTATGAATTGCTTCTCATAATGATATGTCAACTGATGGATTGTTGCCACATCCTCTTTTGGCCCTCCATGCAACATCGTCGCTTGGCTAGTTCATGCTAGGATGTGAATCCCACGGGGAACGCGGGATGCTTCGGGTAAATTCTTCCCCTTATGTATCCACTATCTAATAGCCCGAAGTCTTGAGCCTCAGCTCACCCTCGAGGGTGCTAGAGATGCGCTGTTGCTGCAAGATTGTCGAGGAATATGTGATGGCTCTGAGTCAAAGTATGCGCAAAATCCAGTCGACTCATGGTTACCTGCAGCAAGCACGCCTATATCTGTTCACCAATGCTCTTCAAGGGCTGACCTAACGGCGGTTGACCCGCAACGGCCCGACGAAATGGCGCGGTTCATAAATGCAACGTTGAGCCGCGATCATCATATCCCGACGCCGTTCTGTAGCGGGCCTACCGTAACCTCGCCTGAATCCTTCGTCAGGTTACCTCAAAAAGAAAACCCCATACTCCGTAGTCTTTAATTGTAACCTGGTATTGGAGCCGCTTGTACTTTGTAAGCCATGGTCTCTGCGGGCGATTTTTCTTCAGTTTCCAGATATCGATGGGCGATGTTACTCTGGCGGTTTCGCTCCTGCTAGCGGAGTTTACTCAATTACTGTCAGATATCATATGCAGTTGGTTGCCAATGGGGCCAATGATGATCGCAGAGGAACATCTCGTCCTTTATCCAAGAAAAAGCAAAAAGAGCAAACGTTGGAGGAAACGTGGGGACGGGTTGTTGTCTCGGCAAGTCTCATGGGATGGTGGCATCGAAGGAGAATTGGTTAGCTGCAGAATTGATTGCAAAGCTCTTTTATTTGAGGTGGCAAATATACATAAGTTCCTGCAGCAGCCCAAATCCTTGGGTTCTGCCAAGACCCAGCATGGTGTAACCCAACTCGAAGTCTGTCATATATGATATCATATGAGAAAAGAGATAACAAGCCCGCATCAGCCAACAGTCACACCATGCTTGTCCTGGTTCTTAAGTTCCAACACAACTCAGTACCGTTATGCAACCACTTATTATTGGTTCGTATTCAAGTTTGCCTCTCGCCTGCCAGAGAAACCATGTCGCTAACAAGGGTTTTCGCGTAGATCTCGTCAGAACAAAGGATAGTGAAAATCCTCCTTAACAATGCATTGAAACGCGCTAGGGAGTAATCATTTGCTCCTTTCTTTTTCCTGGGGACGCATAATACTCAGCTGTCGGAACCGTATGATCAGGAGCAATGGCGAGTCGATAACGTCTTGAGGTCCGGCAGATAACGCGAACTACTCCAGTCTGTGCTATTTCTCTTTTCTCTACGAATACAGCTTGCTTGGGATCTTTGGTAGCTGCAATTATGACGAGTTACTATGGAGGCCTGGGGCCGATGCTCAATGCGGTGCTTTGGGTTCAAGTGGTTATTTTTGCCCTCTTTGTTGGACTGAGATTATACACGAGATCTCAGATTCTGCACTCTGTCGGCGCAGATGACTTTCTAGTTATCATCGCACTGGTATGCCCTTTACTTCCTCGCCAATAATTCATCCTCAAACTCCGCAGGTCTTGCAAATCATCTACTCCGCCTTCGTAACGGCCGGTACAAAATACGGTCTCGGTCGCAAATTCGCAGACATTGGCAACCCCGATGCATACTTCCGAGCCGTCGAGCTGGAGATATACAGCCAAGTAGCCGGGCTCATGGTAATCGGCGTGGGAAAATGCGCCGTCGGCATCTTTCTTCTACGGATCGTGCGAAATAAGTTCCAGAAGGCCTTCATCTGGGCATTTCTCGCGGGTACAGTATTCATCACGCTGTTTTCTAGTATTGTTGTCGTCGTGCAGTGTGATCCTGTGCAGAGGACTTGGGATCGACGGGTGCCGGGGACTTGTTGGATTGACTTTTCCAAGGTCGGCTTGACTGTTGGATGTGAGTTTCTTGAGATCAGAAGTGGCGGCAAGTACTGATTTGTGTAGCTTGGTTTGTTGTTGCGGACTTTTGCTTCGCGATTCTTCCGTGGTTTGTCATCTGGGAGCTTAACATGAAACGCAAAGAGAAGATCACTGTCGCGTGCGGCCTCAGTCTTGGTATCTTGTAAGTCACCAGTCTTAACGGTACTGAATCATCTTGCCTGACGATATAGTGCTGGTATCTGCGGTATCGTTCGTACGGTCGCTCTCAACGGATTGAACGCAAGTGAATACATCTGTATGTTCCTTTTCCCCACCAACCATTCATATACTCACATTTGCAGACGACACAGTAGACATGCTCATCTGGTCCGCGACCGAAAGCACCGTAACAATAATGTGTTCATCGATCCCCGTCCTCCGCCCTCTCTACGTGCGCTTCCGCTACGGCAGCCAAGGCGACAGCTCTGGCGCAGCAAGTTCCTACAAACTCCCCATGTACGGCAATCACAGCGGTCGAAAATACGGCAACGGCTCGATCCCTGGCACAGAAACCATTGGTGGTAGCGGACCATCAAACAGAACAGTCATTGCATATAACGCAAATGCCAGCGATGAGAGTATACTTCGTGATACAAAGACTCAGAATGATATCAGTGGGATCCGAAGAACGGATGAGGTGTCGATAAGTTATGGGAAACAAGATGCTGGAGAGAGAGTTAGGGAGTGGAAGTAATAATCGCTTAGAAAAGTCCAAAGGAGTCGGAACGTGAAAAGTTTGACATGGCATAGTTCCAGTCAACGCACGGTATGGATCTCCCTAATCCGGAGTCTATCAATTTGTAAGCTCATAATAATATAGAGTAGTTGTGTAGACATACACGATTTGCTGGACTAGCTGCCTGCTTAGTATGCTGGTGACCCTGGGTGTCAGGTAAATGTTGGCAAGTTAAACCCATCATGGGTTTTGAAGGTGTTACTCTCGGTCCCTCTTAGGTCTCTCAATCCTGTCTGTACCCATAAATTGGCGCAACACCTTGGGCAACCTCACAATCCCCTCATCCGCATCCCACCCAATCTCTAGCAACGCCGCCACAACCCTCGGCACCACCAACACCGTCCCATGTACCGTCCACGGGAACCCCATCACCCCATCTCCCGCTTCCCTTCTCATCCTCGTCGCCAACCGTCGACTCTGGTAATCTGTGCAGAAACTCACAGAGGCGATTTCTCCCCAGGCAGCGTCATGAACTTCGTCTTGTGTTTTACCCACCGCCCGGAAGGGGAAGAAGGCTTTGATCGCGACTCTACGGGCTTCTCTGGCTCTGAGGTTGTGAACTGGCATATCGAGGACACGGCATGTAATTCCGAGAGCGCCGAGGATATCAGTTTGGATGTCGATGATTTCGTCGAAGAAGTACTCCATTTCTTCCTCGTCTGGCTTCGTCCAGGCAAATAACTCCACATTTGTGAACTCATTCACATTATACAGTCCCTCCGTATCCAGCCCAGTTTCAGGTCTATAACATCTTGACGCAGCAACCCTTCTAAGCGGCAACTCCTCCTCTGAGATTATTTTGTTTGTCATCATACCAGCCAATGCAATACCGCTTGTCCTCGTCAGGCTCAGCCCAGGCACACCCCTAGTCTTATCCTTCTCATCCTGCGCAATGTTGTAAACCTGTTGCTCACCGCTACTATCCTGAGCTTGAAACCCGCAGGCAGCAGAGATTTGAGAGTAGATGAGGGATGGGGGCGAGACGGGAGTCCAACCTTCGCGAGTCGTGAAGGAGAGAGCGTAGGAGACGAGGGCCTGTTTCAGTAGGGCGCCGGCGCCGACGAGGTAGTACCATCCGCTGCCAGAGGCGTTGGCGGCGGAAGCAAAGTCGATGATGCCAAGCTGTTTTCCGATGTCGACGTGATGAATAGGCGTTCCTTTGCTGTCCTTGGTTTGAATGACTGTCTCATCGGCGTTGACAGAGCAGATATAATCCCAGTCGAGCCCTCTCGGTGTTTCCTTACTTGTAATATTGGGTAACGCCAGCGCCAAGTCCTCTATCTTGCTCATGATATCCACCTTCACCTCTTCAACTTCAAGAATTTTTAATTTAATCTCCCTCACTTCCTTGAGCGATTCTTCAACATTCCTCCCCTCTTCTTTCAGCACTAAAAGCTCATTCTCCAAAGTATTTGCGCGTTCACGTAAAGATTTCACAGCCTCCTGCAACGCTTGGTAATAGAACATGAGCTTGGTGATGCGGAATGGGTTGGAGGCGAGGTTAGGATAGTTTCGCAAGAGGCAGGTTTCAGCGTAGAGTTCTGGGTTGTTGCGGATATGGTATATGTCGAGGGTAGGCATTGCAGCGATTGAAGGGCGGTTGGGGGAGGAGTAGGATCTAGTGGTTGGAATCCGAGGGATACGTTGATATCGCCGGCATTTGGTTATTGTGCGATTCATCTTGGGCTGCTGTGGTAGAGGCTTGGTAGTTAGTGAGAAGTTAAGATCATTGTGACATTTTAGGGGTTTGTTCATATTGCGGTAGCTTTAGTATGCGCCCTGCAATGACCTCCAAGTGGGGTAGATACAGCAGATATTATTGGAACATAATATTAAAATATGGCAAGACTTTAATGCCTGGCGAATAAACTATTATATGCAGCATACTTCAAAAGAGAATAGACTTTACCTATAATTCAAACACCAAGTCGGAATGATATCACCGGTATCAGAAGAATAGATAGGGTCCTGATCAGTTATTGGGCTTGAGGGAAGATGAGTGAGTGGAAGTAATAACCACTTGGAGAAAGGTCCAAACTCTATTTCTGCACGATAAGAAGTGCTCCAGTGAAGGCCGAAGTATTGATAAGGCGTAGATCAGCAGGGTCTGGGCCTGTCGTCACTTTTGGTTTAGCGGAATATCATTGATAAGCGACCCCGGATAGAAATAATTACAGGCAGCCCCGCCCTCTTCTTTAGTGACCTCGACACTACAACACCCCGTATCTCATGCGCCTCAATTGAACAACACGCGATATATACGGAATGACTCATGGATCCTGGTCGCAAGAGGATAGGCTCCATCGCAGAGTCGGCTACGTCGTCTAATCAGCGGAGTAAACGCGCCAAATACGCGCCTGTAGCTTGGTACGCGACCGTCCCTAGGCACTGGGATTGACTGACCTTGGTAGTAATGAGTGTAAGAAGAAGAAGCTCAAGTGTGTGAGGGAGGAGGGCGATGAGATTTGCAAGAGATGTGATGTTAATAAAGTCGAATGCATCTTTGCTCCTACAGCTCAACCGGCAAAGGAAGATGCTGAGCCATCGCGAAGACGCTCAACTCAAGAACCTCAGTGAGTATCTCGCCCATCTCACAAATCATCACCAACACTTCACAGAACAGACGTCGGGTCTCTAAGCCAACAAGTAATCGCCCTCCAAAACCAAGTCAACGCCCTTACATCAGCCCTCCAAGACGTATCCCAGCGTCTCCCCCACATAACCCCCTCCTCCACAAAGTCCACCCCGCAAGGCCACTCCTCCACCTACCGCAAAGACATCCGCAACGTACACAACGAGCCGCGCGAGCCTCAATTCGTCGGCCCCACGCGCTCGGCGTATAGTTTCCAGATCGCGGAGAACTCCCTCACAGGCATGGGGATCGAGCCCAACGCTACTGGTACCAGCACGCCCGCTGAATCACCCAGTGAGACGGAACCCGTTGTTGAGAGTGAGCACCTTTCGCCAGGGGTAGAGGATGTTGAGACTCTGGCGAGTTTGGGAATTGCGGAGGTTCAGAGGCTGTTGGATATTTATAATGAGGAGATTCAGAGTGTTTATCCGTTCATTGATGTGAATGAGTTGTCAACCAAGGCGGTGTCGGTATTCCAGACACCGCAGGAGAATACGCTCAAGGATGTGCAGGCTATCAAGTTGGCGGTCGCTACGTCAGTTGCTATCGAGGCACAGGGGCTGAATAACATCAGCAAGAGGTTGATTGATGATGTTGAGCCTGTTATTTGCAGCGTCTCAGGCGAGGCGTTCATTGACTTGCAAGAACTTCAACTCATGATAATGCTGGTACGTCTCCTGCGTACAATCTCTCTACACATACTAACGCTATCAAGAGCATCTATTGGTTTCATTGCGGAGAAGACCTCCTCGCCTGGAGAGCCATCGGCAACGCCGGCCGCGAGGCCCTCGAAATCGGTCTTCACCGCCGAACCTCACTCTTTGAAAACTTCAAGAACTTGGCAGAGCGAGACTTGGCAATTCGTTGTTTCTGGTGTGTATACATTCTAGACCGAAGGTACAGCTATGGCACTAGTCTATCATTCGGCATTTCCGACCGGGACATCGATCCCCGGTGTCCAGAGCCAGTGAGTTCCCTCGCACTTTGGGAGAAGCGTATACTGACTATTGAAAGAGTGAGCAACATCCATATCTTCGATGTATGGTCTCCTACGCCAAGTTATGCTCCAAGGTCTGGGAGGATCTACCGCTTGATTCTTCACCATTTATAGTACCAAAGGATAAAGTCGACTTCTTTGACTTTCTGGCGCAGAAATGGGTTCACTCTATTCCTGAGGATTTACAGCTCGTGTATCCTCGGCTCTCACAGGCTCCGCGTCATCAACCTCGAGTTTTACAACGCTTGAGAACGCTCCTTTATCTAAGAGGGAATTATATACGAAACTTGGTTCTACGACATCATGTCATGAGTGCTGAGAACTTGCGCTCAGATATGCAGGGCGCTCAGCTGGTCGTCAGTCTCGCGCAGGATACGATCCAGGTTTTGGTGAATCTGAACGAGACAAGCGAGATCTATGCTCGGCAGAAAGCAACGTTTAATTATTTCCTGACAGGCGCTCTAGCAACAATCCTTCTAGCAGTATGTCACGGCCCCGATGTCTTCGCCGATCGCTGCCGACAAAGCTTTCAAGACGCTGTTCGTCTCCTCAAAAACATTTCTCAGCACGGGCAGCTAGGTCGACGACTATGGCGCTCACTGAAAGGAACGATTCATCGCGCTTTATCGCTAGAATCCCCGATCACACCGACTGGGAATGCGGCACTCGCAGAGATTCTGCAGCAGGAGACGCCGGAGGTACGACAACAGCAGACGCTTGTTCCTACGAATTGGCCGAGAAATGGACTAGGGAATAATTTTATGGATGAGAACATGGCGGACATGTTTGGTCTGGAGACGGATCTGTTGAATCTGTTTAGTGCGTTTGAGCAGGACAATATGTTGAGGCCGGTGAGTCAGGTCAACGGGCTTGATCAAGCTGCGGCAATACCGGATCAGAATGGGGGTGTTGGGCAGGGTGACGATATGAGTCGGTTCAATGGGGGATTCTAGAAGTCACGCTTTGATGAGACATATCGAGGACAAGACTGTAACAATATCATCAAGTACGAGTGTTAAAGAGCGTGTTCTTTGCATAACTATCTCGTACATATCGATCCATGACCCAAGTCCCGTCCAATCCCATGGTCATACCGTGTTAGAACAATTTAGTACCCTCATAGCGACGCGCGATTAAAGAAAATATACATCTCTCCAATTTTTGAATATAACTACCCAGTTTATTTGTCATGGACTCCATCACGAAGACCTTCAACAACGTCAAGGTCAACGACGGGAACCTCAAACTTGTACTTGCCACGGAAGACATAATACGCAATACCAGCAAATAGCCAGCCAGACAAGACAACGATAGAGTAGTTCATGTTCTGCGGTGTTACTGGCATAGTAGATGGAAAAGTGCTAAAGATGACAACGACTGTGATCCATATCAAGCTGATAACGTTGGCAGCCGGGCCAGCGATACGTCCCAGCTTGAAAGGACCGAAGCCACTGGAAGTCTGAATACTCTTCCTGGCGAAGAGCATAGCGATGATGGGGAAAGCATAGCTGACATACATGCCGATGATAGACATGGAGAGAATGGCATTGAAGGCAGTGGTGTTGCCGAGGTAGATGAGGCCAAGGAGCATCTGGAGAGCAATAACAACCACGACAGCGTAAACAGGGATCTGAAGACGCTTGTCGACTTTGCTGAGCTGCTTGTCAAACGGCGTTGACTTGTCTCTCGCAAAAGCCCACAACGTTCGCGACGTAGATGTCGTTCCAGCGACAGTTGCTGCAACAGCAGTGCATGTAATGATGACAGAGAGAACAGTGCCGCCCGCTCGACTCTTGGTTACGTCAAGGAAGATCTGCATGAAGGGGAACCCAGTGGGTGTTGAGAGAAGTTTCTCGAGGGGACCAGTTGAGAAAAGGAATATGATGCAGTAGACAAGGCCCATAAGACCATTGATGGCCACACTGCCTACCATGGCGAGGGGGACATTGCGGCTGGCATGGGGCATTTCTTCAGCTAAATGGCAAGCGGCATCGTATCTGTGACGGTTAGACGGTGATGTAGTGAGTGGGAGATGGGGACATACCCGAGGAATGGATACACGGCACTTAAGAGGCCAACTAGCCATGATACACCGTCGTTAGCCCAACCACTAGAGTTGGTAACTTCTGTGAATACAAACGAAGCCGAGTTCTTGGGTGCCATGACACCGAGAACGACAACGATTGTGACAAAGCCGATGACATGAACGGCGCCTAGAGCCGTCAGTTCCGAAACATCTCCCGCCAGCGGAAGTACTTACCCGACACCGTGTTGATATGTGGAAGAAGTTTGTCGCCCCAGATATTGAGAACAAGGGCATAGACAAGAACAAGCCAGTAGAACAACATGCCCTGCCAACGCTCAGGAACATACGTGTCGTTATTGACGATTATAAGAGCCTGCATTTGGAGCCCGGCAGCAAAGGCAGCAGATGATGTGAGGACAACCTGTCCGCCAATGCTGACCCAGCCTGTGACCCAAGACGCGGTCGATCGAATTGAAGTAGGCGAAAGGGCTGCTACCCAATGGTATTGACCTGGAAACCATTCCGAACGTTAGTCTCGAGCTAAAAAAGGTTGCGTCAAGGTGTGAGTACTGACCTCCAGCTGTAGGATATATCGAAGCGATCTCGCCGAGAGAGCTGGCGATGCAGATTGAGCATACTGCTGATAGTAGACTGGTCATGTTAGCGGTGCTTGGTTTCGGGAACGGGAGACGGACTAGTTGTAGAAGAGACATGGTGCTCCGCCGGTGATGAGAGCTGTAGCGACGACAGAGGATAGAGCTTCCCACGTCGCCATGAGACAAACGCATAGAGCACAGAGAGAGAATAGAGAATACTGTCTTCGGAGTTCCTGCGTATGACCCAACTGCGCAAGACGCAGGGCATCATCACTCGAAACTCCAGTACCGCCCTCAAGACTCATGGCGTCTTTATCAACAGCAACGTTAACTTTCTCAAGTTCGCCCATGTTTCTCAAGCAAAGAATAATAAATGTTTTATAAGTAAAATTTTTCTTCTTTTCCAGTTAGTGGAGCTATGGAAAGCACGGAAATGTCGTTCATATAAATCATCTTGATAAGGGAAAAGAGATATCAGAGCACCCCCCTGCTGGCATATCACATCTCTGATCAAAACACACGCTAAACAGGGGCCGTATCAAGAACGCGGGGAGATCTAACCTAGTACGTATTAGCAATTCTTTACGAGCTGCGTTATCACTCGACAAGGGTGTTGATAGAGGGTGAGATAAGAGAGATTGCGCTTCCGCGTTCCGAGAGGCGTTCCGAGTGCAACGCTCGGAACGAGACCTTCCGGGGTGTACTATTTGACAGCTGCGAGACATCACATTTGCTGATCGATTGAACCAACAAACCGCAATTCCTTTGTCCTGAGTCTTTTTTGTCCAACCATGGCTGCACCACACCCTCTGTCTGCCCTCTCGGCGCGTGAGACTAACCTTGCTCGCGACATCGTCAAGGCCTCTCACCCCGGTGCGCTGCTGTTCTTTAGACAATCGTACCTGTTTGAGCCTCCCAAGGAGGAAGTCCTCAGATTTCTTGAGCTTGAGCACTCTGGCGCTCTGACTTCTTCTTCTCCGAGACCTGATCGCTGCGCGCAGGTTTTCTACGATGTCATTGGCGGAGACCAGAAGTCGCTTTACTATGAGTCTGTGGTTGATGTTACGAAGCGGAGTATTGTTGCGCAGGAGATTATCAGCGAGGAGCACCAGGCCAGTCTGACGATGTAAGTCCCCAGTTACTTATGGTTTTAGTGTGGTGCTGATTTAGTAGGGCCGAGTTTGACATCGTGGTTGAGTCCTGTAAGAGATCAAAGTTGTTCCAGGATAAACTCAAGGAGATCAAGCTCCCCGAGGGTTTCGAGACAGTAATTGAGCCCTGGCCTTACGGTGCACCAGACCTAGAAGATGGCAACACGCGCTACTTCCAAGCACTCGTCTTTGCGCGTGATGCTCGCAAGGGTCAAGACTCCAACTTCTACGCTTATCCCATGCCCTTGATCCCAGTCATGGACGCAGCTACCAAGGAGATCATCCGCATTGATGAGCCTGCTACAGGCGGCAAGGATGATAGCCTTACTGGCAAGACCTATGCTCCTGGAGCTCTTGACCATTGTCAGAGCGCAGAGTATGTCCCTGAGCTTTTGCCCAATGGCACGAGGAAGGATTTGAAGCCCTTGATGGTTGTGCAGCCTCAAGGACCTAGTTTCTCCATCACAGAGGGGAATCTCATCCAGTGGCAGAAGTGGAGAATGAGGGTTACGTTTAATCCTCGCGAGGGAGCTGTCATCCATGATATTCGCTATGATGGACGGCCTGTTTTGTACAGATTGAGCATCAGCGATATGGTGAGTTCACTTGAAAAGCTTACGAGAAATGTACTAACATGCGTAGACTGTTCCTTATGCTGATCCTCGTCCACCGTACCACCGCAAGCAAGCCTTTGACTTTGGCGATGGTGGTCTTGGGCACTGCGTCAACAACCTCACTCTCGGCTGCGACTGTCTCGGCGTGATCAAGGTAAGCTGAGCCCCAAACTCACAAGCTTCATGACTAACAACTTTAGTACTTTGACGGTGTCCTCACAGACGCAGATGGCTCTGCACAGGAAACCAAGAACGTCATCTGTCTGCACGAGCAAGATAACGGCATCGGCTGGAAACACACTGACTGGCGAACCGGCCGCGCCGTGGTAACGCGTCGCCGCGAGTTGGTTATCCAGTTCATCATCACCCTCGCCAACTACGAATATGTCTTTAATTACAAGTTCGACCAAGCAGCCGGTATTGTCGTGGAAGCCCGCGCCACAGGCATCGTGTCCGTTGTCAACATGGACCCCGGCAAGACAGCGCCCTGGGGAAACATCGTCAGCCCTGGCGCTTTAGCCCAGAACCATCAGCATGTTTTCTGCGTGCGTATCGATCCCTCGATTGACGGTAATGAAAACACCGTGGTGCAGGAGGAGAGTCTACCGTTGAGAATGGACAAGAGGACGAACCCTAATGGAAACATGTATGAAGTGCGCCAGACGCAAATCACCACCTCCCAAGGCATTGACGCCGCTCCCTTTAACAACAGGGTTTTCAAGGTCCAGAACCTGAATAAGCTAAACCGCGTATCGGGCAAACCAGTCGGTTACAAGATCACACCGCCCCCAACACAACTCCTCCTCGCCGACCCCAACAGCACACAAGCCAAACGCGCCTTGTTCGCTAAGAAGCACTTCTGGGTGACCAAGTACAAGGACCACGAGTTCTTTGCCGGTGGGCGGTACACGCTGCTCAGCAAGAGTGAAGTCGGCGGAGTGAGCGACGCAGCTGATCGATGCGATGATGTGTTGAATCAGGATGTTGTGTGCTGGAGCGTCTTTGGACTCACGCATAATCCGCGCGTGGAGGATTGGCCGGTGATGCCGGTCGAGATGCTGCAGCTGCATATTTCGCCTTCGGACTTCTTCACGGGGAATCCGGCGCTTGATGTCCCATCTGATAAGGATGTTGCGTCGAGGTTGACGAGTGGGTGCTGTAAGGAGGAGGGACCTAAGCTGTGATTGGTAATTGGGAGTGACATGGCATAGCATGAGATTGTAAATCAGTGTTTGCATTATTTTAGCATGAATGAGATTTTTTGAGACAACTGCCGGCTGCTGCTTGCATTGTGAAACGATTCCAGTAATGAACACATCGAAACAAAGCATTTGGCCGAGGGATTGGAGGCATCACCTTGTGTGCGTCCAAGCCGGGCCAAAGAGTTATTATCTAGGCTTTCCTCCTATCAATTTTATGCTGTAGCAATTGGTTATCATTATAGTATAATATCTAAGTTCTTATCTAGATGTGTTACTTGCAGTTAAGACTTATAGTTGGAAGCTTAAATCAGCTGAGAGGACTTAGAAATAAAACATTTGTATCTTTATAATGACTTACCCTGGAGTCTTCAAAGGTGATGATTGCGGGTCTGACGCGAGATGACCACGAAAATCCACCACTCACTCCAACTAAGCTAGAGCTCACTACCCCGTACGCGTCTGTGATACCCAGTCTTATGCATGACAAATACATGTCAGATCAGAATAGTTACATTCCCCTCCCATGCACTCATCGTCGCGGATCTCGGCCTTTCTCTCTTGGCGCTCAACTACCGAAGCCCACTCCAACATCCGCTGTATCACGGAAACGGGCCGCTGGAGATTACGGAGGTATAGCCATCTGCGTGATTTATTTCGTCCACTAACTCCGCGCCATCGGAATCGCCACTGCGGTTCCGAGCCCATAACCGCGGCCCAATCGGAAGACTCATTCCTCTCCATCGCATTGCGGCTCCTACTGAATAGTGGCACTGATACTACATTATCGTATATTCCTGTCATAAACTGAAACGGTTCAAGCAGGGCGGTGGATTAAATATACGTAAGATATGGAGATGATCTGACTGCGGTGAAGTAATGAGTGAGAACGAGGAGGCGTTTGCGAGACCCTGGATTATGCATAACCCCTCACGTAACATGGTCAGTGCTATACCGGAACATAACATCCTGGATTCCGAGTGGAATGGTCGTCGTAATGTACATAAGTAATATGCATGCGGTTTCACTGCGCTTCTCTTCTCTCGCCGTGTAGCTTATCGACTTTTTGCTGTCTGATAAGATCTTGATAAGTGGATATTACTATTACTTTATACCCGGAATACACAAACTCAATATGGCGGAACTCACCATTACCGGCGCTGCTGGTCGCAAGATCACACGTACGTTACACTCATGAATTCCCATTACATGCAACATTCTTACTGACTCTCTCAGTCCCCACCGGTCTCTTCATCGACAACACCTTCACCCCCGCAGAAGCCAACAAAACCGTTATTATCGAAAATCCCACCACAGCCTCCCCCATCGGCTCCGTCTCCGCCGCTCAGACCTCCGACGTCGACCGCGCTGTACTGTCTGCGCGCAAGGCATCCGCGACGTGGAAGACTACACCTCCCCAGGAACGACGTCGTCTGTTGAATAAGCTCGCTGATCTTATTGAGCGCGATGTTGAGGACTTTGCATCCATTGAGGCTGTCGATGCTGGCATGCTGTATAACATGTCCATGGGTATGAGTGTTCCTCAAGCGGCTGAGACGTGTAGATATTTTGCGGGCTGGGCGGATAAACTTGATGGGCAGAGCATTGACTACGAGAGCGGCCTTGCGTATACCAAGAGAGAGCCAATTGGTGTTTGTGCAGCCGTTGTACCTTGGAACACTCCTCTGTAAGTCGCATCCCTTCACACTGAACCTCGTACTGACAATCACAGCATGATCACCTCATGGAAGCTAGCTCCCGCCCTCGCAGCCGGCAACACCCTCATCATCAAAACCCCCGAGCTAGCCCCCCTGTACGGCCAAAAACTCGGCCAGCTCATCGTCGAGGCTGGCTTCCCTCCCGGCGTAGTCAACATCCTCTGCGGTCTCGGCACTGTCGCAGGCCAAGCGCTCGCCGACCACCACGAAGTCCGCAAGCTCTCCTTCACCGGCAGCGTCGGCGTCGGGCGCACCATCCTCGCCAGCGCCGCAAAGTCTAACCTCAAGCGCGTGACCCTCGAGCTCGGCGGTAAAGGCCCTAGTATTATCTTCTCTGACGCTGACTGGGAGAATGCGCTTATGTGGTCTTCCATGGGGATTACTACGCACAATGGACAGATTTGTGCGGCGGGGAGTAGGATTTATGTGCAGGAAGATATTTATGATAAATTCGTAGAGGAGTTTTCGAAGAGGACGAAAGATGCGGTCATGGGTGATCCTTTATTGCAGGAGACGATGAAAGGACCTGTGATTAGCTCAACGCAAAAGGAGAGGATCATGGGTTTCATCGCAAAGGCCAACTCAGAGGGAACACAAGTCCTCCATGGCGGTTCTCAATCACACGACTCAAAGGGGCATTTCGTCCCCAACACGGCATACGTCAATGTCTCACCCTCAGCGAGCATCATTCGCGAAGAAGTCTTTGGTCCTGTCGCTAGCATCGCCAAATTCAAGACGGAGCAAGAAGTCATCGACCTCGCGAATGACAACGTCTACGGTCTAGCTGCTTCGGTGTTCACAAATGACATCAGCAAAGCGATCCGCGTATCGGATAAGATTGAGTGCGGCTTGGTCTGTGTTAATTCCTGGGGAAGCGTTAATGCGAATACGCCGTTTGGCGGGATTAAGCAGAGTGGCTTTGGGCGGGAGAATGGCGAGGATGCGCTGCATGATTGGACGCAGGTCAAGTGTGTCAAGGTCAATGTTTTTAAGCTATAGATTCTGATACAAATGTTACTACCAATTTACTATGAGATTGTTGAAATGTCCTGTTTTGGTGTTTGGGATGACTTCCTCTTGCGGCATGACCAGAAACTACCCATTTCGGAAGTAAACTCACTAATTCCTCATCAAGTACTTACCCGACACTAAGTGATAGAACTAAAAAGGCGCGCTCGCTTCGCTATCAATTGACGCGTGCGTCCCCTCGCTATCTCGTCTCTCTTCGGAACCAGATAGCCCGGAACTGGAGCATTCCGAGTGTTACGCTCACGTATGCTTCTCCATGACTCGACTGCTTGTTCATCACTATTCTTATCAGTTTCACTCTGCTCGTTCCGGTCGGAACTTTTGAAGCATTAGTCAATGCTGTATCATTGCAGAACGACCACGTAATGCTTTGTTGACTTGTTGTGAGGCTTGTATCAGATATCAGATTGTTCCTATCGTCTGCGTCCTTGCCCGTTCGCTGTTATTGTACGGCAGTTCATCATGATTTCTTCACCGGACTGTCACACGAAGTCCTCGATACTCAGAAAAATACAACTCGGGCAGTTTCTTTCGCACCTACACAGGACCATTGAGTCGCGAGAAAGTCGAGATGTTGTCCTATTATTTGCTGGCGAAGCTGTACGCCTCGTCACTTTCATCATGGACCTGTTAGCATCCTACCTCCAAAAGCTTCAAAGCAAGAGACTTCAAGGTCTCACCAAATCATTCTTGACAGTGTCTCATATCAACTCAATGGCTACGTCAACAACGCGAGCCGCAAACGGTTCAAGGGCACTCTGTGCAATGCTGGATGAATGGCAGATCATGAATCGCCTCTTTGGCGTCTTGGACATGTGGAAAGCAGCCCGAGATCTCATAAGAGGCATCTCCGCCGAGCGATCAGCAGGAAAACATGTCAAAACGCTGGACATTGGAATCCAAGTTTCACAGATCCTCTGCCTCAGCTCATTCCACGTCTCCGAAGCAATTGGCTTTCTCTCCTCCAAAGGAATTCTCAAACGCTCAGCCAAATCAGAAGAGAGGCTAACATTCCTCGCAATTCGCTCCTGGGCCGTATTTACAATGATTGAGATTGGCCGGTTGTCACTGGAGTGGATGAATACGATGCAGGATAAAGAGAAACTCGCTACAAAGACATGGAAGGCAAGGTGGAAAAGCGATATGCTTCAGAATTTGGCCTGGGCTAGTGTTGCTACTCATTGGAGTCTGAGAGATGGTTTGATACCCGAGGCTTTTGTTTCGCCGCTGGCGGTGTTTGCGACGTGGAGCTTGGTCAAGGATGCTTGGAAGAATGCGGCTTGACCCCCATGATGCATCATTTGGGTGATCTCGGCGTCTTTTTGAGATTTGAAGCCTCTGGCCAAGGGCTTGTATATATTCGCGCATAAAAACAGTGCATTATCCAGGTGGCATCAAAATATAAGCATTGCATGACTGCGAGTTACCAAAAGCAGCATCGTGATGTGGATATCCGTATTTCCCAATATACCCGAAGTCTTGATCTTGCTAAATGCCTTGTTCGACCTGGTCGGAAATATTGCGAAAGTTCCGATGACTTTATGGCGGCTATGATTGGTTGATGCATTTTGTATGGCAACTCATCAAAAGCTCGGTTGTCGGAAAACGATTCCGCGCCGGATACTCGGGCCATGAGAAACTTCGCGATGACTTCGAAATGGTATAATAGGCTTTCAAGATTTGTGAATATCTTCAGTTCATCATTAACATCGATTCTACTTCGGTATTCGACGCAATGGCTGATATCGACATCATGACCAACGAGTCCATTCTGGACGAAGCTCTTCTCACAACAGAGTCTCCCGTCATTGACTCAACAGACTTAATCGTTCTTCTTTCTCTGCTCCTAGGAGCAATTACATATCTCTCCAATGGCAAAATAAGGAGCTTCTTCTTTCCTAAACCTACCGCAGCAGCTGAGGAAACAGCTTCGAAAGAAGACAGTCTTCGAAGCATCTCTCACATCTGCAACACCACTGGCAAGAACTGCATCATCTTCTACGGCTCGCAAACTGGCACTGCAGAGAACTATGCTCAGAAACTAGCGAGAGAAGCTAGTTCACGCTACGGCCTTGATCCCATGGTCGCTGATCTTGAAGAGTATGACTACAATGATCTCTCAGAATTGTCAGAGCAGGTCGTTCTAATGTTTGTACTTGCTACGTACGGCGAGGGTGAACCTACGGATAACGCTCAGGACTTTTATACATACATAACTGGCGGTGAAGATGGAGATCAGCCGAAAGTTGATCTCCAGAACGTCAAGTATGTCGCTTTCGGTTTGGGGAATAGCACATATGAGCATTACAACGCTATGGTGAGACGTGTTTCGAAAGCGTTGGATGGCCTTGGTGCGAAGAATCTTGCTAGTATTGGGGAGGCTGATGACGCAGCTGGGACGACGGAAGAGGACTTTTTGGCATGGAAGCAGGATATGTGGTCGAATCTTGTTCAAGAGTTTGGGCTCCAGGAGAGAGATTTTGCTTATGAGTCGACATTTGGTGTTCTGGAAAGAGATGATCTGGATGCGAGCTCGCCTGGTATGTTTCTCGGCGAAGCAAACTCGGATCATCTTGATACCAGCTCGACCAACCGCCAGTTCAGCAACACGAACCCTTACGTCGCTAGCATCACGGAGTCTCGCGAGGTATTCACTTCCAAGGATCGGAACTGCATTCACATGGAGATCGACCTCGGTGGCTCGGGTCTATCTTATGAGACTGGTGATCACGTCGCTATCTGGCCTACCAACTCAGAAGCTCAAGTCACGCAACTTCTCAGCATTCTTGGGTTAACAGAGAAGAAGGATACGGTTATTTCTATTGTTAGTCGGGAAGCAACTGCAAAGCCACCCGTTCCTACACCAACGACATATGCTACCACGCTGCGATATTATCTTGAGATTGCTGGACCTGTGTCTCGAGAGTTCATCAACGTCATTGCTGCTTTTGCACCTACCGACGCTGCAAAAACAGAAGCGACGAAGCTCGGTAGTGAAAAGGTGTACTTCAACGAAAAGATCAGCCAGAAGTGCCTTTCACTTGCTCAAGTGTTGAGTATGCTCAGTGGGGGTCAACCATGGACTAAGCTGCCCTTCTCAGCTGTCGTCGAAGGACTTAGCAAACTTCAGCCTCGATACTACTCCATCTCCTCATCATCACTCGTCCAACCCTCCACTGTTTCCATCACTGCCGCCGTTGAATCAGCCGAGTTTCAAGGTCGACCTGATGTCTTCAAGGGCGTAGCTACGAATTACCTTCTCTCACTCAAACAGGCTCAGAACCAAGAGTCTCAATCACAAGAGTATCAACTAAACGGCCCTCGTGAGAAGTACGCTGGTTTCAAAGCGCCCATTCATCTTCGCAAGTCAAACTTCAAGCTTCCCAAGGATTCATCCCGACCTGTCATCATGATCGGTCCGGGAACTGGTGTTGCTCCATTCAGAGGTTTCGTACAAGAGCGAGCTGCGTTGAAAAAGCAGGGGAAGGATGTTGGAAAGAACTTGTTGTTCTTTGGATGTCGGCGACGGGCTGAAGATTATCTCTACGAGTCAGAGTGGCGGGTAAGTCAACGGTCCCTTGATGTCCAGCCAACCTTGCCAACCCATGCCAGGAACACAAGAAGACCCTCGGCGACGGCTTCGATATTCACACTGCATTCTCAAGGGAGACCAAGCAGAAGGTTTATGTGCAGCACCTCATCAAGTCTCATGCCAACGAAGTGATGGACATGATTGACAACGGCGCGATTATCTATGTTTGCGGCGATGCGAAGCACATGGCAAGGGATGTCAATTCTACCCTCATCTCAATCTGGGCCGAACAGCGGAATATCTCTGTTGAGAGTGCAGCGGAGAAGGTGAAGGGTCTAAGAGACACTGCGCGATATCAGGTAAGCATTTCACATCCAGGGTTGGCACCGTTACTAACACCTCGAAGGAGGATATCTGGTAAATACAGTGATAGAGCAGCATTCTTAGTTATAATTAGACGGTGAAAAAGTTTCTAGTTTAATTAATGTGATATTAAACTATTGTACCATTCATTTACATGCCGGCTATATAATCCTGATCTGCACTTGTTCACTGCCTGGCCACGCAAAGTCCTCCAGGTCTGATGCCGTAGTATCTTCATGATGGGACTGGAGGTCCGCACGCTTTGCATCGACAATACAGAATCCAACTCGTTGATAGATGTCGCCATCAATATGCTTCAAAGCCAGACAAGCAAAATACACCCGAGAGGAGAATTTGTCACCAGCGATTGGAGCGTAAAATATCTGATCTCCAAATTTCAGACCGTCGTCCTCAAGCACGCAATCAGGCTTGAATAATAGTTTTCTGAGTGGAGGGTCAAGTTCGATGGTCCACAAGACCTCCTCATGGGGATCCCGGCAGATGTCAGCTGATGTCAACGAAGTCTTGATATCTAGAAATCCGCTTCGGACCTCGCCTGTAGGATCAGTCGTTGCAAGCTCACAGCCCACATTGACAATAACACATGCTTGCTTTGGCTCTTTTGGGGGCGGTAACGAATGAAGTCCGATTGGTCCGGTCCACCACCAGCTACAGCCTGAATCGGTATCGACAGCGGCCCAAGACCATGAAGGCGCACGGTAATAAGGAGGTCTGTAGCCTACACCACCCGAAGTTGCCATGTTGTAATGGGAGACATGGTACCAGCAGAGATCATGCAGAAGCGAGTCCTGCCACAGTCCGGCGAGATACACACCGCCCCTGACATGTTTTCGCTGTTGAGCTAGACCTGACAATGCCGGGAGCTTGTCGGCAGGGTTGGTCAGTTGCCTGCTTGTATATGCGTGAACTACCTGCTCCCACCACTTAAGAGCACCTTTCCAGTCACTCGGGGGAGGTTTAGTAGCTTCTTCAAGCTTGTGAAATCGGTGCCAGTGCGACTGCATTGTCTCTTGCCTGTCTATATGCCCGCATTCGCAAGTGATTCGTGTTTTGCATCTCCAGGCAATGTCGAACTTGCCAAAGTGCAGTACACGAGGGGGAAGGAGGAATTCTTGAAGAGTCCAGCCGCGTGTCTCTAGACATGGGATATCCTCTCGGTAGTGGTTGATGCGCTTGCGGATGTACCAGAACGCTTGATTCCCGCTATCTGTGGTAACTTCCTTCCTATACTCATCCACAGGATCTCTGGAAAAGAAGCCGCTGTCCATGTGGTCTGAGAGGTCGGCAGAGATGGTGAAATGGGAGTTTTGATAAGTCCTGGCCATGTTGGAGTTCTCTTGAGCAAAGTCCCGCCTAGTGGCTTCGAGTTCGTTGGGGGTTATATCCGCGAAGCTCTGTAGGATACACAAGCTATCGATCCAAAGATATTTGACGTCCATTGACCGGCAAACTGTTACTGCATCTTTAAATGTAGCAGGTAGACTCTCCCAATCGATATTCTTCATGTGGCTGTCAAGGGTTCGTGTAGTTGTTTTTAGTTGTTTATGTGTAGGATCCCCCCACCGATGGCTCAGGCAGATGTAAGGGGACTCATCTCCTCGGGTCTCTACCAACCTGACAGGATCTTCGAGAGCGCCCTCAACACCAATCAGCCTTTTTGGAAGTGGTACCTCTGTAGTTATAGGCTTGGGACAGGCGTGCTTGGCCACGCACTCGGATACCCATTCTCTTGCGCGTTCAAAACTGTCCCTTGAATTCGTATATCGCCCAACACGGTATCTGCTCCTCACACGCTCTCCCGACACTTCAAACGCATCGGCCCTTGCGTCCATGAATAACTCGAAATTGGCTTTCTGGTCTGATAGTTCGATGCTAAGAAGTTCATGCCATTCTGAAATGACCAATCGCTCAAGTTTCAACTTCTCCTCAGTTTCGTTTTTGAAGAATGCCTCTGAGATGCCTGGGAGGTGACCTCTCACGCAATCTAAGGCAATGTCTCGATAGATACAGCATATGCGGCACGAGCCTGCCGAGGAGCTTAATTCAGGAAAGGTGATCTGGCGCGATGCATGCAATACCCGATGAGCACACGAATTCTTGATTGAGACTTCGTCCCAAGGCACATTTGAAGTAGCCATCCTTGGCACGGATACCTAGTGGATTGGAAAGAATCAGTAACAGGTCGGCTGATTCGTTGAGGCAATTGGTAGAGACAAGTCGACTTTGCGTTACTCTGGTAAAGGTGCGGCTTATCGTCCATTCTAGGTTGGGCAGCAATGCGCTAAGGTGATCATCATTCCGAGGCGGACTATCATAATTGCGGTGCAAAGATCGTCGCTCTCGGAACGGCTCAAATTTTGATTCTTGTATCATTGTGTATAAACTGCGCCAGGGAAAATACGTGAAGGTCAGATGCAAGGGCATTTCGTGTCCGTATCTTCGCTATTTCAAGACCGTGAACGTTGGCCAAAAGCTGAACTAATCTTTATAGTTAAGAAAGTGTTTGAATCTCACGAAGAACTATTGACTATATTGCACGTGTTAAAACCTTCTCCGCCTCTTCCATGACATCATAAGAATAAAAGAAGTCTCGAATCGGTCTCGTAAAGTTCATCGCGTCAGGAGGAAAGATCCCTTCTCGCCATATATCTTCAGCTCGTTGCCGCAGCACGCTAGAAATCCCAGGCTGCGCGTCAGAAAGCAGTTGAGTAACATGAATGCGGCGCTTCAAAATGTCATTGTATAAACCCAAACGCTCTGCAATCTGCTCTGAGTCCTGCATATCCTTGAAGAGAGCTTCTAGTGCTGCTGCCTCCTCAATCGCGAGAACTGCGCCTTGTGCTGTGCGACATGTCAGTGATAGCTTTCTTAGGACCGAGGCGACTTACCGTGCGTTGGCTGTATGGGATGTGCAGCATCACCGATTATGACCGCTCTCGCCCGTGTGTACGTCTCGAGTGGCTCCCTACGGAATAGCTTATGAACAGAAACGCTTGTCGACAAACTGAACAACCTGGCCACCAGCGGATTGAATCCCCCGACCATGGCAGTGATGTCTTGAACATTCGTGTCAGTGTTCCAATCGACTGCATGCTCATTCTCCGCTTTAGTCTTGTGGCGAAAAGCAACGTTGAGCATCTTCCCATCGCGGCAGGGATATGTAACGAGGAACGTCCCAGTAGGTAGGTCAAAGGGGACCCAGAATCCTGGGTCTTGGTCCTTAAAGATGGCTTTGAGGTCGGGATCTTTGTTTACTTCCGAGAAGGGGATTAGACATCGGTAAAATGAGGAGCCGATATCTTCGAGAGGGACATCTTTTTGGGTGATTTCGTTGATGAGTTTGGTCCAAGAAGATTAGCTAGTGATGATGGCAACAGCATAGATCGGGGACTTACTCGAACGCCGTCAGCAACAACTACGAGATCTTTCTGAAAAGTCTGTCCATTGTCCAACACAATCGTAGCATTCTCACAGTCAAGGCTGGAGACAGAATGTCCATTATGAATCACCACTGGTGGACCTGAATATCGCTCGTCACTCGACAGAGCCATCTCCTTTAGCGCTGTGTGAAGATCCACTCGATGGAAGAACGCAAACGGCGCACCGTAGTCATCCTCAACGTGACTAAAGTCTTCGACGACAAGATCCTCAAGAGTCTGCGGGTCTACCATACGCATCTGCTTATTCTGCACACCACGCGCTGTCTTGGGATCAAACCCGAAGTGTCGAAGGACGCGCATTCCATTTGGGGTGATGGTGATGGCAGCGCCTATTTCATCCTTGAAGTTGGACCTTTCAAAGACCTGCCCAATGTCAGCTGGTACAGTAGCTGGATGATTATTTAGTAACCTCAACTTGAGCTCCTGTTCGTCGAAGAGCAATGGCGACACTCAGGCCACCAATGCCTGCGCCGATGACTCCAACCTTCAATACCATTTCCGCCAAGTCAATGATAACTCAAGCGTTGCTGACGGGCTTGCGGCAGTGGCAAAGCGTCTTATTAATAAGTTGCTACGCCTTACAGATCAGCAGCGTAAGCCCCCGCCTGCGGAAGTCAATGCGGAGATCAGGCGCTTAGATAACGGGTCAGATCCTCCAGCCACCGTAAATCCTCGGAAGAGGTCAAAGAGCAGTTCTAAGAAAACAGTGACGGGCTCATAGCTTTTCTCCAGTGCCACAATTAAGAGCTCCTGTAGAAGGCTAGGTCATTTTTAGTGATTACTTCTATGGCTAGAGGGCTGGAGTGGGATCTGCACTTGCTGATCGTCAATGACGCAATGTGTAATACGCTGGATGCGCTATACGCTCGCTAGTGAAGTGCAAGGGCTTACACGATGCCTATTTTCCGCTTGTGCCGCTCCGTAAGTCCCTATTTGACGACTGAGCCACTCTGACCGACGTTGGCTCTACCTATCGAACACAAAATTCCATACCATATCATGGATGACAGAGAAAAGAGGGGTTGATCATTGAATCTCATTCAGTCTTACCAACAGATGCATCGTGAACGCAAGTAAGCCAGGCTTGCATTAGTCCGTTGTCAGACGAATGAGAAAGTAACCTGAGATGTCAGCGTAGCGTCTTCTTCCGCAGTGATTGGCTTACTCATCCGTCGTAAGAAACATGCATACGCCGTGGCTTCAAGGCATTGGATGAACTTCACAGGTCAGCATGCTCGGCGGGGCTGTGGCTTGGAAGTCTCCGAGGATATAAATACGAACAGAGCGACGTCGAATTTCGTTGTGCATTCCACATAAGCTGCATGCATCATGACTGCAACGTCTCTGTTTTTAAAGCTCAAGGCTCACCTGGCCGACACCCAAGCCAAAACCTACGCGCCTGACGCCGCAGGCTATAAACAAATTGAACAATGCTTCGTTGAGAAACCGGTCCAGACTCTTGGCGTAGTCAGACCTCAAAGCGGCGATGAAGTTGCTCTAATAGTGCAATTCTGCCTCGAATATAATGTCGAGTTCAGCGTGCGAGGGGGAGGCCACGATTGCGCTAGTCGAACATTGGTCGATGGGGCGCTCGTGATTGATATGCGAGATATCAAACACGTTGCCACTTCCGAAGACAAGAATAGTGCACGGGTCGGTGGTGGCATTCTCAGTGGTGACTTGGCCAAGGCCTTGGTGAAAGAAGGCCTGAGTACGCCTACGTGAGTTCTTTGACTAAACTCGACAAGGCTCCATTACTGATTGACGCATCCAGTGGTACTGTCGCTAGCGTAGGATATACTGGATGGGCTACCCTCGGTGGCTATGGCCCGTTGACATCTCATTATGGTCTTGGGGTTGACCAGATCATCGGAGCGAGAATCGTCAATGCTCGAGGCGAAGTCGAGAATGCCAATGAAGAACTGCTTGTCGGTATCCGAGGCGGCGGTGGATCACTCGGTGTAATCGTTGAACTGACCATCAAAGTTTACCCAGTCAACGAGGTGCGTTTAACTCAGTCGAACCAAGACTTGATCTCACATGTTTAGATCCTCTCGTCTATGATCATCTACGACTCAAGTGACCTATCTGCAGCTCTCACGTCCTACACCCAGCATTACGAAAAACTTCTCGAATCAGGCGAACTCCCAGTGTACCTGCAACTCCAACCGATGATCGCCCAAATGCCCGGCCAACCCGTTAGTCTCATGGTAATCGCTACTTGGCATGGCGACGACAAAGAGCAAGGCCGATCTTGGATCAAAAACATCGCTGAGGCGGCGACATGCGTGATGGAGAATACGCAGGAAATCACACTTGCGGAAATGCTGGAGAATAATGAGAAGTTGGTCACTTGGCCCTCATACGGTCGAGTCTATACTCTGAATTGCAAGACTCTGACTAAGAAGTCGATTGAGATCCTGGGGAAGCAGTGCGTCAATACTCCAGGTGGAAGTCTAATCTTCTCATACCACACATTACTCTCAGCCAAAGAACCTGAGCAGAAGTCTGTTTTTGGTACAAGAGCTCGTCATCATATGTTTGAGATCTACGCCATTCTTCCTGACAAGGCCGCCGCGGAGGAGCGGGTTCGATGGGCTGCTAAGGTCAAGGCTGAGCTTCAGGCAGAAGATGCTGATAATATCCTGGAGGGGTCGTATATATCGCTTGGTACTCATGAGGACGCTGACGTCAAGAAGATCTACGGGAAGCACTATGAGACGTTGGCGGCGCTGAAGAGGAAGTATGATCCTCAGAATGTCTTCAAGCATAGCATTCCAAGACTGACATTTGCTGAAGAAGGGGGGGCGATTGCTGAGGCTCAAGTCTAGTGATAGATCTTTAATTATATGCGGCCAAGCAACTCGAGATCAGAGTGGAACGGCCTGTATTATCCTTGAATCCATTTTTACATAGCCACTAACAAGCTTGGTAAAGTCGTACGAGGTAGCCAGCCGGGTCTCGCACAAGAATACTTTTCTTGCCATCGACCCATACAGGCCTGTCTCCTTCCGTAATGACCTTAATCTTGGCAGCCTTGACCTTGTCTGCAATGGCATCCAAGTTCTGGACGCTATAAGTAGTCATGCCAACACCAGGGTCCTGTGTCGGATAGATAATAGACACCCTGCTCGGATCATCATACTCATAGTACTCACACCTCGTTTCAGGGTCGCAGTTCCCGGTAACAGCAGCCCAGTACGTGTCGGTGGACAAGTTGAAGAGACCTCCGAGGCCGCCGACCTTCTCGTATCCTGTACCAATAAGGGGCTCGAAGCCTCGGCTGATGTTCTGCCCGAGGATATCTCTGTAGAATGTGAGGGCCCCCGTGACGTTGTACATGGTGAGGTCGAGCTGGCCGCGAATGACGTATTCCATGCCGGGCCCGTCGGTAATGTTAGGCTCGGAGACAGTGAAGTAATCGGAGGGGCCGCTGCGCTGGACGAGCTCGACCATGTACCCATCTGGATCGTACACCCAGACCGTGGAAGTGGTTCCCTCGGCGCCACCCTTTGGGATAGGAGAGCCGTCGATGGTGGACACGTTGGCTCTGCGCAAGGCGTTATTGATGGCGGTTGCGTTCTTCACCGTGAGGGTCAGCGCCGGAGCCGCTGGGTCCTTCTCACGCTGCTTGATCTGCTTCTTGGAGATCCCCATGTACTCGACCAGGTTCAACGTCCAGTCCTGGTTGGGGATGGCGACTACAGCCATCTTGTACGTCGCACCGCGTGTGGCTGTAAGCCTCCCGTATGCCTCATCGTAAACGGGCCTCTTGTCTTGGTGTAAGATTTCGAGGCCCACGACGCCGTGGAAAAATTCGAGGGTTTTTTCGAGGTTGTTGACGGCATGTCCAACGCTAGACGGCTTTGACGTGTAAGGTGCTTCGTGGCTCGCTGAGTAAGCAGTCACCGCCGCAAGGATACAAACAATTAATCCAGTCTTCATATTGGAGGAGGATGCGGAGTCTTGATGGATAAGCGTGAAGTTCAGTCCATTATCTTGTCCTAATTTCCACCATAGCTTGCTATTTATACTTCAAGTTGTATCTATCTTGCGAGATTAAGACGTCCATTCTTTACGTTTACGTGCCCAGTGCAGTCTCCAACCCCACATCCCGGATATTCCATGTATAGTCGCATTAAACGCATACCTACGGAGTACTCTATATATGAACCAGAGGTACAACCCCACAGTTAAAGGGAAGGTCTACAATAGACGACCCGATAGAACTAGAGTTTCAGTCTTGTTTGTGACATGTACCTCGGGGAATTGCGGCTGTTAATGGTGTATTGCCGTCAGCGTCATCATATTCACCAATCACGATATCTTACTACCAGGACGATGTTGGCAACGCAGGCTAGCCGGAAATTAAGGGGTGGCCGGGATCTAGCCCCGGCATTTACAGCAACTTTCACCTCCCAACAGCCCCGCATTCCATAGCGGAAAAGCCGGACGCGGCTGGAATAGACGGCACAGAGCAGAAGCTAAAAGGCAGATCGTAGCCGACCTCGATCCTTGCTTTGTGGTATCAGGACGCGCGGCATACCGCTTAACACCAGTAGTTTAATAGAAAATCCAGATGCCGCCGGAAATTCCGAAATCAATAAACTCTTAATTCTTAGCTATTGTATAGTGAATCTGTACCCATACCACGCCCAATGCAATAGCTGCCACACAACCTTTATACCGATGCTTCTCATTTGTGGCCGATGAGGAACGCACCTCAACAAGAAGGGTATGGACAAATCTGTATTAGTGTTTCTATCAGTAAATGGTTTCAGATTCTTTCTCATCTCGGTATCAGAGCGACAACTAAAGTGATACTTTGATAGAGTAATTATAACTTGGCCTGATGTATTCAGTAGCACATGTGAGACGCATGATATAACCATCAGCTGTTAGGTCTACCAACTTGATCAACACTCTTCTATGGCTATATGCACCTTTTAAGACTTTACACTTACACGTCTTTATAAAGATGTCAGCATGATAGGCCCAAGTCAATTACCAGCTGTACTTTATATCCACTTGAGACATGTCGTGCTTTTCCATAAGCTACAGCACATATGCATATGTATCTAAGTCTTCAACAAACTCCAACAACGGCTTTGAGTCCTGAGCACCAATCCACATCGCCGCTCTGTTAGCAACCCACAGTGCCACCATGACCATATCCTTCTCCTCAATCCACATAGACTGCTTCTCGCCAGTCACGAGCACGTCGTGAGGCGTCAACTGCCAAGTGCTATAATCCATCATCGAAGTCTTATCAGAGTACCATTTTAATTGTCTCGACTTATACGTGTACTCCAACACGCCACCAACCATCCGACTCTTAAGTTCGTAGAGATCTCGACGTATGGAGGTATGTTTGAAGAGAAGTTCTTGCTCCCAGGGGGCAATGTATCCGGTGATGCGGTATAATAAATCATCAGCCTTTATTGTCAGTATGCTTCTTCTTAATTGACGGGGTACTCACCTGTTCATAGACGATGTTGAAGTGGTCGAGCGTTTCAGTATCCAATGCTCTTATCAACATATGTGTATAGACTTCGTCAATAGACTCAGAGTCTGAAATACCCGCCGTCTTCTTGTTCATAAATGGTGTTTCATCGTTCTTGTGCATAAGCTTCTGAAACCGGTGCTCCGCCTCAACCTCCTCCAGAGCTGATTCAAGGTACTTTATCCTTGCTTGGGAACGGGGATTGTTGTTTTCTCCGTTATTGCATAAATTGGCATATACCTTCAAGGTACACTCTCGGAGCTGTGTATCCAAGATGTAAAGAACCCCCAGTGACAGAAGAAGAGGACGTAGATCATAGGTGTCGAGATAGCCGGTCAGGAACTTGTCGAAAGACAGCTGATCTGCCAACCTTTGTGGATAGAACTTGCCACTTCGCTTCCAGTCAAAGATTCGAGAGTGAGATGAAAGTCCAAAGGCTTGCCCAAACTCAGCATCGCATATCTCGTTGATCTTCAGAATACTAGTGGTGCGTCGTAGAATCGAAATCCAGAACTTATCCTTCCATATCAAGAAGCCCCAGTTATCCCAGTCGATAGTGAGTACAAGTCTCAGGGTCTTTTCAAAATCGCGTCTTCGGAATAGACAGAAATTTTCCTGTGACGCATCTGAGTAACGAACCCATGGACCATCAATGCTGAGACCGGCTGGCTGGGCTGGTAGGTCACGTTCCCATTGGCGGGTCTTTCCATTTGTTTCATATGTTGGACTCTCAGTACCATCATCACGGTGATGGTTGATCTTTTCGAGCACCCGCTTTGCTTGACTGGCAGCATCGAGTGGGAGGAACTGCAATATCTGTGGCTCTGGAATTCCCAAACACTGCATCGCAATACCAATAGATACGGGAACATCATCAGACTCTTGGAGAGAGTATGCAGGCCAGTCCAGTGTATCATCCACATTCCTACCGATCGATGCAAGAGCAAGATCCGGCGCTTCTAGCGATATTACCATCTGTCGTCCCTCTGCAGTTCTGCCACACGGTAAAAAGCCATGAGCAATCCAGAACAAAGTCTGCAACGAAGAGCCTTCCCTTCTCTCATTGAGACCTGCCTCGAAAATCTCTTTGGCAATATGCGGCACAAACGATAGAGAAGTTAAATAACTCCATGATCCTTTGTGGCGACCAAGTTGCTGCAGTTTGCCCGTTATGCCATATATCGTAGGTTGTGGAGTCGTTTCAAGGGTGATAGTCCCATAAGCACTGCGACGCACAGCCATAACGGTTCCGTCAGAGTCTGCATCGCTGTCTGACCAGGATCTTGAACTTGCCGAGTCTCGACTGGACGAGCCTCTCCTCCTGGTTATTATGTGAGGCTGTTTCTGACGGACCCATTCGAATGCCAAATTTGATTCTCTTTGTTTGGCTTTTCTCGGCAAGGCGAAATGTCGAATCGAGGCTCGTTCCCCATCAAAGTTCCTCCTGATTCCCTTTCCCTGTAGAATACCTTTGTCAACACGGTCTCCATACCGACCGAGAAGACCCAGCATCAAGATCCAATGTTTGTTGACCACTAAAGCAGTTCGACTGTTCACAACTTCTAGTGTTCCGCCGGTGTCGGGGACGTCCAAATCAACTCGTCGGTTGCTAATCCCATCCCGTACTTCATAAGACTCGATTAGTTCCGATAATTTCGCCCATCCTGTGTTCCACGGCAAATAATCCCTCGTCATGAAACCCCAACGGCCCAAAGCTGCACTGAGAGGCGGTATAAGCGGGGCTGTATCTGGCTCATTGGTGATGTAACCCGGTGCAAGGTTCGGCACGCGAATCCTTCTAAATATGCGTAGTCCCCTCGTCAGCCGCCACCCTCTGGAGATATATTTCTGTTGTTGGTCTTGCACCGCATTCATGGCGCGGTTTTTATCACTCATCGACGCTTGCAGTGCCAGATATGGACCGACTACACCAACTAGCGCAATGATGGCCACCCCAGCGGCGACCCATGTGCCGATGTTGCTGGCGAGATCTACTGGATCTACTCCATCGTCACTGGAAGAAGACATGTTGAGGTGTTGAGGCACAAGATGGCACAAGACTTGTCTTTGGCGCAGAAAATTCACTCGGGCTGGATTATATCACGTGCTGAGTTGACCCTTGTACGCTTGTCTCCCATTCGTCTATGCTTCCCGGGATAAATATGCACTATGAACGCCTCTCAGAATAAACGTTCTATTGGCATCCCCCTGTAAAGCCGCCTCTATGACTCCATCCCCCAAAATGACTTTTCCTATCTGCAGGTACCAAGCTCAGCAGCAATACCCAGTCCCTCTATTCCACGCCGGGCCTGAAAGCAGATGCAATGTTGATCAGACATTTCTTCTCGATCTGATCCTTATAGATCGCAGTGCCTGTTCGGATTAGCCATGTGGAATTGCTAGATGCTACCATCGATTCTGAGAACTCACATTCTAAATCGCGGCCAATGACCTTGATTCGCATTTTTAAATCGATCTTGAAATGCCTTGATCCAGCCCTATTCCCATCCTCTTGAGGGGGCGCTTCTTCGGACGTAATTAGCCCTTCATCTCTCAAGAAGGTGACATCAACTTCGATAGCACCCGCTCTTTCAGCTACTAAGGCAGAACGTTTCAGAAAGTCTCCTTGCCGACGTAGTCTGTCTTACCTTTATTCTTCGTATCTGACTTCTTATAGTGGGATTCCGTCGCAGTATCCGAAACGTAAAACTCTTCCCTACAAATGAAGGGGCCTGGCAAAGCATCGAGAAGGTGTATACTATCGAACTGGTACTCATAGACTGGAGGAATATTCTCTTCCTAGTATCAAAACGTCAGATCATCGAAAGAAAGAATTGAGCATCTAAGCGAAGGAGCCTTACCTTATTCAAAAACCAGTAAATGGTGTTTTCGATGTATCGTCTGCCGTCGTGGGGACTCCACATATACCTTTTGTTCTGGTGCTCTGGATGGTCCATGAAGTGCTCGGTTCTCAGGATGCGAAAACTACACTGCGCGATCCTCTCGGGGCCATTCACCTTGTTACAGGCTCGGTAGACCCCACCGGAGGAAACAACAGTTGGGATAATTGCCCTATTCCTGTGGGCTATAGTTTAGCTAACGATACAGAAACGGGTAGAACTTCCAAGACTAACCTCTCATCAGGGAGCATCAACTTAACATGGCAGTTGTTATTTGTGGCATATTCCCTTAATTTCGCTCTTAGGTACTTTTGTAGAGAGACGGAGGACCCGAAGCCACCGATAAGCATGACTGTCTGAGGATCAACTTGGATTAGTACCTCATCGCAGCAAACTTGCGACTCCAGGCATGGGGCTCAGTTACCTCGACAGCAATCCCTTTCGCTGCTGCTTCATCTAGCAGGCTTTCCAAGTGTGCCCAAATACTATCGAGCCGCTTCAAAAAGATTCTCCCAAGCGCAGTTCTAATGTTCCATCAGCTTCAACTCGACATCGGGGTCTCCTTCATTCTTCATACTCAGGGACGACAAGATGCTTCCGCTGAAAGCCCAAGTTATGATCTTCTTTAAGAAAAGGGATTTTGATCTCTATCCTCTGCGGCTTCTTAGTGAGGACATCAAAGTTCCTCTTTATTCGTGGTTCAAAATGCTCAGACATGAGTGTTTCGACAAGAGCAATAATGCTCCCATACTGCTCTCCGAGGTTATCTTCATCATCGAGTTTCTGGATTAACCATTCCCTAAAATCCTCGTTGATGTAGCTGGAGCCGTCGAGGCTGCCTGGAAATACGTTAGTAGCAATGATGCTTTGAGAAGGGTGGTATTACCGTCAGCAGGCACGACTTCGTGCTCTGGTCGCACGGGCTCTTCACATGTCACGCGATAAGTGATGTAATCAACCGTACCACCGCCTAACCTAGTCAGCGAGAATATTATGTGACGGCCGTGGATGTATACCTGCGTCGACTAAAGTAAAAGACTGACCGCTCTATTCACAAGGTGAGTATATGGCAGTCGTAAGATGCTATACATCTCTCACCTTGAGCTCGGTCGACGACGCAAATTCAGCCGCATTCTCTGACTCAGACGTTGTAAACAGCCGTTCGATGGTATTATTGTCATTGACATCAGGGAACCCAGCCCGCCTCATCACCACGGCAAGGCAGGGTGGTATCTGATGGGACGTTTGCGTTTATCGGCACCCAGGACACTGACGAATATGTTGTGCCAAAGTCCACAGCAATAATCAACCTGTTGTACGAGACTACTATGTCATTGGCGTGTTGGCTGGAGGGCACAAAACCTGTATTTTGCTCAACCGAAGATGGCATGGCTGTAGCTGTGGTAGTAAATAATGCGTGAGTCTGGAATATCCGACGCCGGCTGATGTTCTCAATTTTCGGGGTAGTATAAACTGAGGATGTAGGATAGACTATCAGTGAGAAGATTAAACTTGATGAAAGATGAAAGTCGTGGAGAGCCAGAATCTTGCAAAACCGATTCCTTTTATCTAGCACGACTCTCTGCCATTTCCCAGGCAACAAGGCTGCCAAACTTGCTCAACAAACCATGCGTTTGAATGCGATATTCCGTGTTGTTGGGTAGGAAGAGCGAGTGTAGCTGTTATTAGTTAGCAAGAAAGCTCACTCGTGTAACACTGTTCAGCCTCTGATTGGCTGCGCGGTGCTCAACCCCTATAACTGATGTCATCTACGGCAGGACGCATATAAACGATATGAGAGGGGGTTAAGCCACGTCTCGAGCAATTTGATTTCCTACGCGTCTGGATAAAAGATAAACAATGCGCCTTCTTCAGCCTTAAGTCCAGACCAGATCATGGCGAGAAAGAGGTTCAGAAAGTCGAAGAAGCAGGGCACGTCGACGCGGCGAGACGGCCCTGTCTGGTCCAACTCACACCGGCTCGAACTCTTAGCATTCTTGAACTGGTGCGTCCAGCAAAACAAGGGTCCTGATTTCTACACCTTGGTCGCCGACCATCTCAAGCGGGCCACTAAGAAAAGCTTCACTAAAGTCCAGATTCGAAAGAAGTTGAATCATGAGTGGCATAAGCACGGAATGTGCGACCAATTCATCGAACTATACACTTTAGGCACTGCCGGGCTTAGGGATCTGAGCGCTGAAGACCAGCGCGAGCTTAACCTGATTTCGCTGAGGCTCGAGAGGGAACGTCCCAAGGCAAGGCGATTTCTTCGTAGCTCGTCGCTGGCTCCAGCTATACAGTCGCGCTCTAGGCCAACCCCTACGCGTCGATTTCGGGCGCACAGAGCGCCATCTCCTCCACCTTCTCGTGCACAGACGCAAGTAGCCAACAGCCCAAAATATCGGGTAGGTACCGCAATGAGAGCACTGACCTTGACCCACAGGTCAAGAGTAGTTTACACTCTTAGAACAGCAGAGAGAACCTAGTTTATACTAACTATCCGTACCTAGACTGGATCACAGACCCGATATTTCTCACAGCGCAAAGACCTGGATGATAACCTCATACAAAGTGGGTTTCCAGAAGCCGACAGCGCGGATGTCACTGGCGGTGATGTCGGCCAACTATCCTCGCCTCCATCTATCGACTCAGAGCCTAACGACATCGGTACCATTCTTGCGTCTGAACCACCGCCGAGACCATCCATTGAAGCGAAACTACGGATGGGATTGCTCAAGGCAAAAGGGCGTGAACTCACAATGATGAACCAAATATCTGAGCTCGAACGAGAACGCTATGATCGAGACCAAAATAAAAGGCCCGGGCCTCTAGATCCGAACGCCGTGAGGGGCGTGATATCCCGACTACAGAAACAAGTCAATGCGCTGCAGCGTCTCGATGATGACCTTGAGCTACTGGAGTCTGAGCGGTTTGAATTTATGGGATCATCACTGGGCAGCGAGTGTCGGCGCCTTTATCAAGATATCCACACCAGTATCTCCTCATCTATGTGCAACCTGAGCCCAGATGATAAAGGGTGAGTGGTGCAGTGGTTCCGCTCCTAAAATCTTCGCGCCACTCGCCCTTCGTTTCTGCCGGTCACGCGTTCGAAATCACATCTTTTGCTCTTTCCTTGCATTCTTTCCTTGCATTAAGAATATAAGTGGAATTATATACATGAATCATAAAAAACATCACGTCTTCCTACAGCCACGTCAGATCCGACTTCCCTCCAGGCAACATCACCCTCAAAGGCCATCCCTTGACCTCGTGGATCTCCCCCACAATCTTATGCAGCCACGTCGTCGCCAGGACAGGAAACACATACTCAAACCTCTCCCTCATCGCAACGTCAACACCTGCATTCCACGCCTGCCGTGCAAGTTCCTCATTACCAAGGGCGATATGAGCATGCGCCATGGATAAATGAACAATAGCGAGTGTCCATCCATGCCGTGACTTGAAGATCGATAGACTATCTATCATTTGGCCCGTGATTTGCCAGTGCTGTAGTGCTTCGGGGAACTTGTTGCCTTGGTGGTGAATCCGCGCTGAGAGGATTAGACGACGGACACGAAGGACTTGATCATTCAAGTCATCGAGTTCAGGCGGTTCAACGCTGATGAGCTCTTGGAGAACAGTCGTTGCGTCGTCTAAGCGGCCGAGGCCAATGTAACCTTCTGCCCTAGCCATGGATAATCTTCGGAATGGGCGGCCTTTGCGTGCAGTCATGCCATCGAGCTCAACTTGGATGATCTCGAGGGCTTTTTCGTACTCGTGCAGCTCGCAGTGGATCTCAGCTAGTCTCGTGACAATAAGTAATCGGGTATTCGGCCTTATCGGCATTGTGGAGTTGAGCCATAGATGCTGTTCCAAAGACGCCCTCGTCGTCTTGAAGTCTCCAATTGAATGGAAGAACTTGGCCGCCACGCCTTGAAGCCTTCTCGTAACTTCAATCTCAAACGTCGAAAGCGGATGGATTCCCTCCCAGTTATATATCGTCGATGCAACTGCTGGTTCATACCGATGTATCTTGTTCTCAATATTAGAAATGTGCAATCTTCCTCGTAGGGCGTTATCAGATCGTGTGTTTCCTTCATGATCCGCCGCCAAAAAGTCAACGATCAGAGCTTCTGACCGCTCAAAATTCCCATCTATGCGCGAAATTATGCTGTCGAAGAGGGTCACTGATGCTTGGTAGTAAAATGGCATGTTTTTGCGAAGAAGGGACTTTGCTCGTTCCACGGCTGCATAGCGGATTGTGAAGAGGTCGCGCTCGCAGAAGAAGAGGAGAGCTTCGATGACGCATGCTCGGAGTGACGAGGGGAGTCGTTTCTGGTTTGTCGCCTTGTCGAGGAGGTTCCATATCGCTTTTTTCAACGGCAGTGCCCTATTGTTTATTGTTAGGCAACGGTAAGCTAGGTTTGGAGGGGATCGTACTGGGCGTACCAATTGACTTTGCCTTCATAGCAAGGAGGACATGCAAAGCATAGCAACTTGAGCGCCGTCGTCGCCCAATCTTCCGCTGTCTGCGGTGTCAATCGATGAGAGAGCTCTTTCTGTGCCTCGGGCGATAAAGACCAGATAATCGTGCCATCTTCCAACGCCTGCTGAACAATTTCCGGCCGTTGACCCAATTCCGCGAGACGCTCATCGCTAGACAGCAACCCGATTATTTCAGCGCTGAACCCGAAATCGGAGGCCGTTATGCTCTGTATCTCTCCTTCATTGGTCCATCGCCTCATAGGAATCTTGGCGCATTTCAACAGATCGAGCGGAATGTCATTTCCGCCAAGAGCATGCAGCAGAAGAAGACCCTGCTCAGCGGGCGATATGCAGTCTCCATACTCTAGCAGTAGATTTCGATGCGACAAAACAAGCGAGGAGTCTAGCACGTCGTTAGCACGGACCTCTTCGCGTGGACATAAGTTTACCGACCGTCAAGTTGAGCCGTGATGAGGCGCTGCACGAAAAGGTTCAGGTCCGGCGCGTCGGAGCCTAGGTTCTTAATGTGATCAAAGGCCTCGGCGTCATCCATGTTTAGGTAACGCTCATATCTTGATCTCGTCAGCTCAGCCGATTGGTTGAGAGTCTAAAAACTTACGTCGAGGCCGGTATTTCTAGCGGCAGCCAGAGGATCGACCCAATCCCTCCCAGGCGTCGGGCGATCTTGATGTACTTGCTGCCCGCATATCGCAACTCGGACAACGTGCGGCCCTGGATAAGATTCGCGACATCATGCGACGCCCACGCATTATCATCCACTTTCGATCTCAGAAATATCGTAATACACGAAATGCGCCGCCGTAGCTCCTGGTGTAACGCATCACCAGAAGCTACCCAGAAACCCTTGACGTCATCTTTAAACACGCTATGCAGCCTCTCAATCTTGACAAGATCGATAGAATGCAGCGATAGGATCTTTGCTGTGCGCTGGTTGCTCGGGATGATCTGGTAGCGCACCTCCTTGGCGAGGGATTTATTCCTAGCGAGGATGCTTCGGATGGCCTCGAGGTGCTTATTCAGGCCTGACGCGAGACCGGCGGCCGTTTTCGGATCAAAGTTATCAATCAGTTGATTGATGCACCCGCATAAACAGGCCATTTTCAGGGACCCAGAAGCGTTATCAATCAGATCAGCTGCAAAGCGATGATCTTGATGTTTTTTCACAGTGAGAAGTGGGAGAAGGGGAAGAGTTTTGCGGGTCTTGGTGTCTCACTGTGATAAACTCTTCTCGCTCCGACGTCAGGCGGTTTCGGGGGATCTAGCTCCTTACGGCAGGGATTTGCACCCATGTACCGAGGAGACGGTAAATTTAGGGGGCTTTGAGCTCCCGGGGAACGCGTTATCAGACTATACGAACTCGTGTGCTTTTTAAGAAGAGAATGGCTTGGAAAGAGTCATGAACGTGAGATTTTGGTGGTAAAATGGCAAGCTATTTCCGGGGATGCGCCCGCTATTATAAACAACTCCTTTTTAGAAGCGTTCTAGAAGAGTTTTTTAACGTTCAATAGTTCGTACATGACATCGGACAGTGCGAGGGTCCAGACTCAGCTCGCGTGGGTGACACGCCAAGTGGGCCGCTAACACTTCCCTAGCTTCGAACGTGAGAAAGAAAAACCTTGTTGAGAAAACATAAACATCGGAGGATGACCCCACTGAGATTGATCTGATAAAGACCTGACAGCCGTTGCTGTTTTATCTGATAATCTTTTCCATCTCATCTCATCTCATCTCCTGTCGTCATCAGTCTGTCATTCACAGAGCATCATGGAGGCTAAAGAGCTCAAGACAGAGACCATCACTCCCGTGTCTGACCAATCAGACAGTGGGAGCGATGACCATGGCAAGAAGCCTGTGCCTTTGAGCATGAAGATCTTATCTGTCGTCATCGTTAGTATGATTGGCTTTGGAGGCCATTGGAGCAGTGGCGTCACTGGTGCTTTGAAGAGTACCCTCAAGAAGGTAGGTCTACCCTCTCTCAATGAAGAACTTGACTAACCTAGACAGGAACTTCACATCACGAATACCCAGTATGCTGTTCTTGATACAAGCGAGAACTTTATCAAGACTGCTCTTATTCTCGTCAGTGGTATTCTCACAGACCGATATGGTGGAGCTAGTATGTAAACTCATCCCTCACTATACATCTTATCTAACATAGTAAGGCACCATGCTCTGGGGCAACGCCGTCTTCTCCATCGGCGCCATCCTCGTCGCAGCCGCAACCCAAGTGCGCTCCTACAAATTCATGATCGGCGGCATCGTCATCCAAGCCCTCGGCGACGTCGCGACCCAAGTCGCCCAATACAAGATCTTCTCCTCCTGGTTCCCGCCCTCCTCCGGTTTCGCATCTACACTCGCCTTCGAGCTAGGCATCGGCAAGATCGGCTCCTTTGTCGGAAAAGCCACCGCGAATGTCATCGCTGACAATCTCGGCAACTTCAGCTGGGCGTACTGGATGGCTGTGTTCATGAACTTGTTCACAAACGTGGCGACGTTGTTCTTTTGGTGGTTTACGCGCTGGTGTGAGAAGAGATATGCGGGCACGAGGGATCCTGCGACGGGGGAGAAGTTGACGGAGAATAACAAGAAGTTTGAGATTGGAAAGATGCTTACCCTGCCTTGGTCGTTTTGGCTGGTCTGCTTGTTCTCGCTATTTCAGACGTCGACGGCCAATGTGTTCTCTACGAACAGCACTGAGCTTGCGGAGCAGCGGTTCAAGATCTCGGCTGTTAAGGCAGGCTGGTACTCTTCCATGTCGCAGTACCTCGGCTTCTTCTTTGTTCCCCTAGTCGGCATCTTTGTCGACATGCTCGGACAGCGCCTTACAATCATGCTTGTCTGTGGACTAGGTATGCTCCTGTCCATGTGTCTTGTGGCGTGGGGACCTACAGTTTCCGGCACAGCTGCTAGCTTCGGCATTTTCGCTGTCGCCAGCTCCTTCGGCCCTACAGTCATTATCGATAGCATCCGCACAAGCATGTGGTATCAGGAAGTCTTCGGATCAGGCTACGCCATCAAAATCGCCATCAACAACAGCATGACCATAATCGTGAGTCTCATCGCAGGTGTTCTCCAAGACCGCGATGAGAACAACTACGATAACGTTACTATTCTCTACGTGACACTAGCAGCTGGCTCCGTCGTCGTCGCAGCTATCATGATTGCTCTGGGTTTCGCGACAGACTTCATTGGACAGCTTCAGTGGAGTCGTAAGAAGAGAGTTGAGAACGGGCACGTTATCAACGCTAAGAAGCAGGAGTTTGAGAGTGAGGGTCACGCGGAGAAGCATAAGAAGTTGGGTGTTATCAACTTTTCTGCCGTCATTGTGCTTATCCTTGGCGCGTGGGTGGCGTACTTCTGGGGCTTGGCTACCAAGAATACTTATTAGGGATGACGAAGAGTCTGGGGAAGGGATCGTCTGAAAAGCTGGGGGATCGGCATTCCAAAGTAGTTCAAGAGAATTAATGTTTTGACGAAGGGTTTAAGTGATCATCTGTGCTTGCTACTGCAAATGATGGATTATCGTGTGATGTAA